TGTAAATGAGACCATCTAAAACACATGAGGATGTGTGTACTTTCTTACACTTGTCAAGCAGACTCCAGGTGTCTGTTGATGGTAAGTCATCTCATCTTTAACTCGCAGGCAAACCACACATAAGGCATTCTGTTTGTGTTGTGTTCTTTTTTTAGTTGTAGTCAAGGCTGCGCAATGATGAAATCAAATAAAGTCGTCTCATGTGATGTTTTGGACGTCTCACTCAGCAGCTTGACAATAACACTTGATAATATGCACTCACAGGCGTTGGGGTCCCAGTTAAATTCACTGAGCTTGCCAGGACTTGTCACGGGCCTCTGTTTGGCCTGTGGCTGCGTGTGTGTGTGTGTTTTGAGCACTCTGAAGAAGGGTGGGGCCTGTCACTTGAAGAAAGACTGTCAAAGAGAGGACCAGGAAAAACAAAAACAGCAAGACAACCAGAGTCACTATGTCACTATCAGTGAGAAGAAAACTTTCACTAATATTCCAAAGAGCAACTATAAAAAGATGGGAAAAAAAAACACACATTAGAGATTAAAATGTTGCTTGTATCACTGAGTCACTTTTGCAACCAAAAAGCAATGTTTCATTTGAGTTTTGATGTAATGTCATCTGTATCTATGAAACACTGACAGTCATGTTTGTTTTGGGATATTTTGGATGAAGACCTGCAGCTTAAAGCATAAAGACAAATGTTTGTGCTCAGACTAGAGGTCTGATCCTTCTGCAAACACGAGAGGAATAACTTTTTCAACACCGTGCGGTATCCGTTTGCGTGCAGCTCTGTTTGACAGCTGTATCTTTGCTCAGGGACGGCTGATTGGTAGAGCTTATGTTAACATATTGCCAACATGCTTCATAGAGGCAAATGGATCTACTGCCTTTAAGTGTCTTAATCAGGGACAGGTGGTCACTGAACGGTTTATGAGACGGATCTGTATGCCAGGTTTAACTGTCAGGAGTTATACCCAGATACTAAAATAATCTTGGGCGGCCCACCATGAATGATAACCCCGTTAAAGATGTGCAATACTTTAAAATGAATTCCCTTTTTACAGCAGCAGCATGATCTCATCCCTTAGAAAAATATATGTCATGTGCATTATGTACAAGTTGTTTGTTGCTTTTGTACCTGTACTGCTGATGTAAGTGGACAGAGAATTTATCCAAGTGAACCACTGAAGTCTTATGTGGATCCTACAGCAAAAAACCCCAGGAGTTTGCTAAAAAAACAAACAACAAAACACTGGTAAAATGTCTCTTCGCTGCTCTTCAGATACACTGAGCTGTCAATCTTATTGAACAAATGTAGCAGCATTTAACCTTGAATTTTATTCAGATGTAAAGAAGCTGATTTTCATTATGGAACTTCAACCAGCCTGTTTGTGACATTTCAGGACATGTCGCTTTGCAGGTTTTAAAATACAAAGTAAAAACAGGGCTGCAATAGACACCAAGAGAGATTGTAATGTATATTTTACAATGCAAATATGTGCAACTGAACAAGCAAGTTAACTTATAAAAGCATATTGTCTATGTTTATAATGAACATTTGCTGGTAACAACATGCAGATTTTTTGCTCTTGGGGAATGCAGCAGGGGTCCAGAGGCACATCATGCTGTCATTTACAGAAGCATTTTTATCTTAAATGTCATTAGTCAATGAGGCACCGGATCTGAATTTCACACGTTGGTATCTGCTGACAAATGCATGCAGTACCAGAGCTCTTTCCATTTCCTGGAGTTGGTGTAATTCTTTATAAGCTTAGTTTGCTGCTAGGTGTGTTTTCTGTTGGAGGTTGAGGCAGCAAAAGGGAAGTGAATACTTGCATAAAATGCGCTTTTCTTTTTACCGTCATCGTGACATCATGACCAAATTTACGATGGTTGCTCGACGGGCCGAGGCAAAAATAACACAAATGCCATGCAACCACCCAAAGCATTCTTCAATGTCCTTTTTTCTTTTTTTTTTTTTAAAAAAGCATCTTTTATTTTTAAACTATTATCAAAATGTCTACAATACAAATGGTGAATGAATGAGGACTTGATCATAAACTGTGTTGCAAAACATGACGCATTTTGTCATTGTGGGATTTTCCACTTATTTGTATATTTCAACTTAACAAATGAGTGGAAATTTTTGTTCGGTGAAATCCAACTCTGCAGTGAATTGACACTTTCATTTAACCTTACTGAGAAAGCAAAGTGCCATATCGCTATGATTTCAAATTTGCATTACGTCTGTCTGAACATTGTGATGAACGCAGGTTCTGAAATACATCACAGAGAAAAAATAAGAGGTGCAGCTTTCTCACTTCTTAAAAAGTCAGAGTAGATACGTTCAAAGAAAATATACACCAATTACAGCATACAATGTCTTTGTAAAAGAATTCAAATTCAAACTTCCTTATATTTTGTTGTTATTTTTGTGATAAAATCAACACAAAGCAGTGCAAAAATTACAAACAGGAAGAAAAATAATATACGGTTTTCAAAATATTTAACAAATGAAAGCAGTAGCTTTATTTAGTAAAAAGCATAACTTGAACATGATTCATGTTCTTGGGAGCTGTCCATAAAATTTGATTGAACATTGCATATTTTGTGAAAATAAATGAGCTAAAATTGCAGGCTGTAGCTGTAGAAAGCACACAATACCATTGTAACTGCAGAAAATGATCTACAGAGGACCCCTCAGGGGGCTGAATATAAATGTGTGTAACATTTTTCAAAATGTTACACATGAGGCACACATGTGTAAAAGCCTCTGAACCCACTGATCCATTTAGCTTAACTTCAGAATTATGCACCGGTTTTTATTGGTCAATCAGTTAAAATCCTAATGAAATAAATTGTGATAGGCACTTGGCCAAGATGATTAACACATTACCACAGAAAGAAGAACAAGACATAAAACAAGTTTCATTTTGACTTTAATAGGCAATGTTACAAATTGTGACGTGTGACGTCAGGCTTACTATCATTAGTGCTGACACACGTCCACTTTGACTGTTCAAAATTTATGCAATAATTTTTAACATAAGACTACAGATGTCCAAGTGTTTCATTATAGAAAAATTCTAATACCACAAAAAGTTTGTCATGTCTGGGTTTGGACATGCATGCAAATTTGCAAAAACATTTCAGAGGAAGTGTGTTATGTCATACTGTATCATTATATATCAGGAAACAACATGACCAGACATCTTCTCGTCAGTGCTTGAGAAAATTACTATTATTCACGTTGCAGTAAGAATGTGCATCATCGCATGCAATCCAAATGGATTTGCAGCATTTCCCTGAATAATACGAATTTAAACCAAACATGCACAACTCCTGACTGTCTAAATCAGGAAGATGGTGCCTCTATTTTGGTGCAATTTCAGGAACGATTTCCCATCATGAAGGGCAAAGAATGATTAGATAGCAATGCCAATAAAACATGCTTGCACGGACATTCATAAGATGTAATATAACCGAACACGAAGATATTTCCTCAGCAGGTCAGTGAACCCTGGGTTAACAGCTCGGTGAGAAAGGAAGTTCAGAAAGCAGAACTCTGTTGCCTGCTGCCCTCTTGTGGCAAATGACAGAACTGCATTAAAGATGGTCAAGATGCAATAACATTAATAGTAACACTCCCAGTTTGGGCCAAAGCACAGAGTAAACTTTTATTAAATCAAGCAAACACATCTGACATGAACTGTGTTTGAATCTGAAAACTAACCTCCACTAAATTTAACTGAGATAGCGAAATACATGAGGTTCACCAGGTGCTTACTCCTCGCACGTTTTGGCAAAATGCAACTACGGAACCCGCGAGGGGACACTGGAAAAGAAATTAGTTTTCGGTACCTCGCAAAAGGATTGCATTCCCTCCCAATACATGAGCAAATTCATTCTTGTCTATTTCGCACACAAAATAGTAAATTTGTTTTTATTATTATTATTTTATTTTTACTGTTAACTGCAGTGACAGCATAAATTCTAGATAGATAGATAGATAGATAGATAGATAGATAGATAGATAGATAGATAGATAGATAGATAGATAGATAGATAGATAGATAGATAGATAGATAGATAGATAGATAGATAGATAGATAGATAGATAGATAGATAGATAGATAGATAGATAGTCTTTTGTTGCTTATAATGTTACACTTCTGCCGTCCAGCAATGATGAAATCACAAAAGAAGACATGAACTCACACTGACTGGGTTTTATTCAGCACATATATGTCAGACTAATGAACCTGCAGTTTTTCACAGACACCTGTAACGCTGCTCATGCATTCAGACAATGTTTTATCATTATTTCAGTATTTTTTCATCAGAAACACATCACAGAGCGAAAATGAATGCAAAATGTGCTGCTCAATTCCTGTGTGTATATATATATATATTGAAGTTGAATCGTTTTCACTTGAAAACAAACGTTTTTTCCCCACTAATAATCATACATTTAAGAAATGATGATGTCCCCTGTTTCAGATGTCTCTCCTGTTTTCGCCTGACTGACTGCACTTCCTCCAGGAAGTGTTGGAGCGGCGTGAGTGAGAGCCATGCAGCCCCGCTGAGGCAGCCTCCGCGCGGCTGTTGCTGGGAGCTCCGGCCAATCAAAGCCGCAGCTCTTCGGCGCAAGTAGTTTGGTGGCTGAGGAGGCATGACATCATGCTCATCTCCGTCCCTCTCCGCTACAAACTCGTGCTGAAACATGGGCCCGTCCCCGCGGCAGCGGCGATAGGGCACGCGTCCCCCGGCGTGCATGTCCAGTGAGATTTTGACGCAGCTTCCAGTGTTTACTCCGACACAGGGTCCGGTGTGTGCGGCAGAAAAAAAAGGGGGGGTGGGAGGACGTGGGGGGAGAGGAATGGCGGTGGACGGCGCAGCGTCTGTGGAGTGGGGACAACGGTGATCGAGCCTTGCGCATTCTGATGTGGAGCCTGATGCCCGGCTGTCTTCATGGATCCAGAGAAGACGCTGACTTTCTGCCTTGGGCTGAAGGCTCAAGAGGTAAGACACTGCGCAGGTTTGCTCTGATCCACACACACACACACACACACACGCACACACACACACACACACACACCCCACACACACACACGCACACGCACACACACGCTGCTGTCAACAGGCTGGGCTGGAGTGACTCTGCACAGCAACATGCTTCCCCCTCTGGCCTACCTGGCTCCTGAAAAAACAACCTTTCCATCTCCACTCAATCACTGCATGTCATTAAGTTTTTTTCTTAATGATGCCCTTCTGTTTTTTAAGTTCATGCTTAAAATGTCTTCATTAAAGTCTGTCAAAATCTGCTATTTATCTTCTTGCAGTCCACGTTTGTTCAAATTGTAAAAATGTAGAACCTTGATGACATTTACAACAGACTCATGTGAAGCACAAGCAAATGAAACAAAAATGTGTAATAGGACTGGTTTTGTATAAAACAAGCAACAGTGTTTCACAAGGCTGCAAAGAAGCCTCGAAGGAAATAGAAAATCTATTATTATTTTTTTTGTGAAGTAAAATATTGCTTAATGTTATCTATAACATTAAGAAATGTTTTCTTTTTTACGTATTAAATTAACATAAAGAGTAAGCATTTATGACATTCACAGTGTTTTTGCTCTGCAGAATTTTCGCCTTTTGATAGTTTTGTTTGTCGGAAAAGAAGTATACACTAATAGTAGCTGCTTAATTAATCAGACTATCAGAGCCTTAGAACAGCAACAGGAGAGGGAGGGGAAAATGCCATGTTATTCTGTTCCATACAGCCAGAAAATGGGTTCAACTCTGGTCACTTCAGGGCTTTTGCTGGGATCTCATTAAATGAACTTCAAACTAAAAGAAATAAATGTTTGGGGTTTTGAAACTGTCTCTTAAAAATCTGGTATAAGGTGAGACCCATGAACTTCAATGACTCTGAAGACGCCTCACACGTGTTTGAGGTTCCATTTTGTCAAAAATGTTCCTGTTTGAGGTTGTGGTTGTCACATTATGTTGCAGCCAACAGGATGCTCTTTTACCTGTATCTTCCTCCTCTCCAGCCCTGTCAGTGTAATGTGGGCAGGATGTGGTTTCGACATTGTGCTGTTAAAAATGTTTCTTTTGGGGGATGGGGAGTAATGGGGGGTTTTGATGTCTCAGTAGAGTTTGTTTGAAGGGGGACAACCTGTTAGGCCTGTCAGTGTATTGATACTTTTATTGCAAATACATATGTGAATTTTTTATTTTTTTTTTTATTTTTACGATGCAACTTTGTTGATCTTATTTTAAGTAAAATGGCTGCAGCAGAGCTTGAAAGGATACAACATCTTCCCAGATCAATACACTGGGTTTCTTAGTTTTTCTTGATTATAGATCTTGAAAAGAATCTTTAACCCAAATTGTTCATGCTCTGTCTAAACTTGCATTCAGTTATGTCTTAAAATTGAGCTTTATTTTAAGCTAAGGCAGTCATGCTGAAATTGGTCTATTGTTTGATTTGGAAAATGTAATTAATGAGTTTTTGTTAAATTGACCCCATGTAGATCATCAGAAAGTGCACATATTTACTACGTGATGCTTGAAAACAAGTGGCTAAACTTTCCAGCACTCATGTTCTGCTGCATGGTGTGAAAATAAATGCCAAGCCAGGATGGAAAATGCGCTGTCAAAACTCCCGTCATGCAGAGTTTCTGTGGTAAGGCTTTAAAATAAGAATGTGTGTGAGGTGTAGTCACTCTGAGACCACCAAGAAACCTCACAGGTTTCACAGTCCCCTCAAAGTCCGCAAAGAAATAAAAACCCGAGTGAAGCACCAGAATTACACAAAATTCCGACTAGTCAATAATATTTCTGCCGCTTTTATTCCAAGTGCTTCAGTTTCAGAAAAATAAATCTAAGACTTTTTAAAAATGTTCGCTTATTCATTTGTTTTAAAACAAATGTCTCTGACATTGCAGTATGATGTTGTCTATTTTATTTGAAATATTTATATTATCTCTAGGGAAGACAATAAAAACAAAACATATTTGACAAGCCATCATTTGCTTGTCAAATATTATAAGCACTAGTGATATTTTATCTGATGTTTTTGAGTTTTACTGCATTATGAAATATTAAGCAGCCACCGAGTATTTGTTCATAGCACATTTGTGGCCTTATATTGGTTAGTAATCACATATCAATGCTATTTTTGCCACAAATTTAATGCTGCGTATGCACAACTTCTGATGTTTGCGTGTTTGTGTGTGTGGGTGTGTTTGTCCGGATATGGAGCACACATTGCTGGGCCAACATTGTTCAGTTGTGCTGACCACAGGCAGCAGTCAGTTGTTAAGCAAGCATGTCTAATTTACATGGCTGCAGTCTTGGTGTGCAACAAGCCCAGCTCTATTTTAATGTTTTGACTGCAGTCCCTTATGCAGCACACATGGATATTTTACCTCTATTGCCTGCTGTCAACCCACATGACCTTCACTGAGGTGGAGGTCATATCTATAATCTTTAGATGTCAGTCATGTAGTTTCTTTTTTAATGATGTGATAATGGATGACAAGTTTCCAGCACCCTGAGACTGTACACAAGCCGCAAAGAAGGAGGCAGAGGACTAGTGAGTGTGAGAACCACTGTCCAGGACAAAACATCTAAGATCCATAAATACATCAGGGACAAAGCCTCAACAGACAATGTGCTCAGTGAATGTCTCAGACAACAGGGAACGGAGGCTGAGGTGCCAGAGATACCATCATGGGAGGACAAGCCCCTACATGGGATGTACCACCAGCAAATAACCCAAGTAGCTGATATCAGTAATCCTACCAATGGCTGGAAAAAGCTGGACTCAAGGACAGCACAGAGGCCCTCATCCTGGCAGCCTGGAACAGGCCCTAAACACCAGAGCAATAGAGGCCCAGATCTACCACACCAGACAAGACCCAAGGTGTAGGTTGTGCAAGGAGGCCCCTGAGACAGTCCAGCACATCACAGCAGGGTGCAAGATACTGGCAGGGAAAGCGTACATGGAGCGACATAACCAAGTGGCAGGCATAGTGTACAGAAACATCTGTGCAGAATATGGACTGGAAACCCCAAGATCAAAGTGGGAAACACCCCCAAAGGTGGTGGAGAACGCCAGAGCTAAGATCCTGTGGGACTTCCAGATCCAGACAGACAGAATGGTAATGGCGAACCAACCAGACATTGTCGTAGTGGATAAACAACAGAGGAAAGCCGTTGTGGTAGATGTAGCAATACCAAGTGATTGCAACATCAGGAAAAAGGAGCACGAGAAACTGGAGAAATACCAGGGCCTCAGGGAGGAACTGGAGAGGGCCTGGAAGGTGAAGACCACAGTGGTGCCTGTGGTCATCGGGGCCCTCGGGGCAGTAACCCCCAAACTGGAGCAGTGGCTACAACAGATCCCAGGAACAACATCAGACATCTCAGTCCAGAAATGTGCAGCCAAAATACTGCAGGACCTCAAGCTCCCAGGCCTCTGGTAGAGGACCCGAGCTCAGAGGATAAGAACCACCCGCGGTGGGTGAGAAGGGAATTTTTATATAACTTCAGCACGGATTACTGATGTGCACAACTCAAAGTGCCCTAAGCCTCAAGGTCATGGACTGATGATCAGACATTATTCTGCTAGAATGCAAAATTTATGATAATACAAGTATGGCAAGTATGGCAGTTTCATCAGACTACAGTACATGTCTCCAAAAGCTAAAGTCTTTGACCCTGACTGCATTTGTAAACAGTCATTTTCTAATCTTTTTGGAGTAATCTTTGTCCTTGCATAGTGGCCTTTCAGCCCATGATGGTAGAGAACTAATTTCAAGGCAGACAGTGGGACCGTCTTCCAATTTCAAACAAGGTCTTTTGCGGATGCTCTAGAACTGATATAACCCTTTTGCATAAAAAGGACATTCATTACTGGGGCACAGAATCTGTCTCCTTACTGAATAGTATAGCTGGACATTCCCATGCAATATGTCTTGGTGTCTGAGCTGGTAAACTTGATGCCTTCAAAAATCTGGCAATTCTACTTAAGCATGAATTAGAGGCTCTCAATTTTCTTCCTGATATCTTTCTTGTTGTTTTTTTGTTGATGTCAAACAACAAAACATCCATGAGTCTGCTTCAGTTTAATTCAAATGTCACCATAATTTACAAAACTTAAAAAGCCATGGTGAAATCCTTTGGGCTTTCAGAACTTTCTGAAAAGCACAACAATCCTATTTTAAGTCAGTTCAATTAGATAATTTTAGTAATTCCAACCTGTCCCAAAACAATACATGTTTAATCAGTTTTAATATCTGCCAGTAAGAAAAACAGGTCATGTTTGTTTTAATACAGTGTATGCAGACATCTGATTTTCAGGTGTATTTTTTCATCTTCTTCATCCGTCTGAATGTGTCGCTGGAAAGAAGCATGTCTGGATTTCCCATCTGGATCTTTTTTATTGGATAACATGAAGATGTTGAACTGTTGCAGGCATGGATAACTGATTAACATTTGTGATTATGCGCTCTGAAAAAAAATGTTGTCTTTAATTATTCAAACCTTTGTCTATTTGAATCTGGTTCCCTCATGTGTCTCTCGAACAGTTGACCAGAAAAACCTAAGTGTTTATAGAATTTTTTTTTTTTTTATCTTAGAATATTGATGCTACGTAGTCTTTACCACTTTACGTATTTCATGTGTTTAAGCAAGACTAGTAAGAAGAACATCAGAGGCCACAGGAAGAAATTTTGTAAAAATGCCCAGAAATGAGTGATTTCTGTCACGTAGAGACAAATCAGTGTGTTTAAGAGTCTCTTTGTCGCCTTGATAAGCCAGCAGACAAGCAGCTGACAGTCTCTGACTGGAAAAGTGTTTGCCACTTTTGGACTAATAACATATCGTTTGCTTCGTCTTGCCATCACTGTCTTATCACGCTCGTGCTGTCCTCTGTCCTGATCATTGTGTCTTTTTTATCAGATGACAATGTCCCTGCAGGAGCTGGTTGCACCTGAAGCTGTAACGGTAAGGAGGTCAGCTTTTAAACGACAAAAAAAATAAACCCTTTTGCACATGTGGCTAATAAAAAGAAGGAAAAAAAAAAACTCACAGCCTGTCTCTTAGTTGTTGCTATGGCAATGCATTGTTGCTCGTTAGCACTTCTGAGTCGTGTGTTGTAACCAGACCAGATTTAGATGCCTTTGCTTGTTCCAATGTTGTTCCCACATTTTTACAATGTGTTTAATATTTGCCTGCGTTTAGCTGCAGCGTGATGTTGTCCAATTCAAATGCAACTTTTCTTGTATTTGTCACACTCTAGGTGCCTGTGCTGGAGATTGACGGAAACACCGCTGACAAGGTGATGTTTGTCTTTTGGATTTGACCTGCAAATGATGAAAACTATCATGAATCTGCTAAAATGTTTTGTGCCTCACAAGAGTAGCGAGCTTTATCAGAGTTTCCCACTTTACAATGACAAGCTTCAATGCATATATTAGGATGTCATGTGATTGTCCATAACAAAGTGGTGCTAATTCTGATGTGAAAGAGAAAGGATAATATGTGGCATAACATTCTTTTGTACATAAAAATCTGACATTATTGCATGCTTTTTTTATTAAACCTTTTCAACTCAATGCTCAGTAGAGCCACGTTTTGCTGCATTTACAGCTGCTTGTCTGTTTGACCAGGTCTCTATTTGAAGCATCTGAAATTGGTGTGCATTTTTTTTTGCAAACCAACTCAAATTCATTCAGATTGGACGGAGAATGTCTGAGAACATTCACTGCCGTGTCTTGCCACAGATTCTAAATTGGATTTAGGTTTGGACTTTGACTGGGACATTCTCATAGACTGATATATTTTAACCAAGATCATTGCAGTCAGAAACATGCTGCAATGGCCTTGCTGAGGTTGTATATTTAGGGTTGCTATTCTGTTTTCATTTTCAGATGACATATTGGACAGATATTTTTCAGATTGTCAAAGCTTTGAATACTGGATTATAACCTAATCCTGCTTTAAACTTCTCCACAACTTTCTTCCTGATATGTCTGCCGTGTTCCCCAACAAGCCTCTGTGGATTTTATTTGCATGTATCAGAGAAGAGGATCCAAAATGTAAATGGACACCACACTTCAAATTTATCCGCCAACATTTTACTTTCTCTTCCTTGTTGTGGAATGGTATGTGTTCATCATAAAACCCCAAAGACAGAATGTAATAGTATGAATTTATTAGTATGTCCGTTTATCTGTTGACAGAAGCTGACTGTGGTTACATTGCAGTGTCTTGCTTTGTCCACCAGGTGGTGGAGCATCACGTCGGTTCTGGCAGGCAACCCGTGGTCAGTCCCAAGTACTGTCCAGGAGCCAACAACAGTCCAGGTTACCGGTGTGAAACAGGACACTGCTGTGGAGAAACAGGCTGCTGTACCTATTACTATGAACTCTGGTGTAAGTCAATTGACTACTTTTAAATTAAAATGAAATGTTCCTATAATGAGAAGGTATTATCAGGGACACTTTTGTACCTTTTCATAACTTTTATTCAACACATATATCTATATAATTTGAACTGAACACTACCTTTTTAAAGCAGACTTGAGGAAATGTAGACTATTTTAGTCAGGTTAGTTTAGCATCAGACAAAATTAACCCAAGAAAATACAAAGAGCAGTTTCCAATTTGATAGACAGAGAAAAAAAAATATCAAAATTGACCTACCACTGTGTGAAAATATAGCTGTTTCCTTGTAATTCAGGTATTAACTGAGATTAATCACAGCTTTTGGCTGAATTTCACAAGCAACACCCAGGTCTGGCTATTGTCACATAGAACCAATAAATCACTAAGAATGAATCAATCCGGCAATATGAAGTAGACTCAAAGATCACAAAAAGCAACACACCTTTTGATTAAAAAAATACAAATAAATCACTGACATAAATCAGTCTGCAAATGGTAACAAACCCTTTTCTAAAACCCAAAACCACATTTTGATCATACCCAAGAGTTACAAAAATATTATGACATTCTTATTAAATTCAGTTTGAAACTTACACCACATTCAGCATCATTTAAACAGACAAACTAGGCTGGTCTGGTGGTTTTTGGCTACTGTTTCTGCTTAAATCCGCTTTTAAGCAAATGTTTGGCTATCAATACCCAGGACAATGATCTAAGTACACCAGCAATTTCACCTTTAAATGCCTCAGTGAAGATTTTCTTGAGTAACCTTTAAAGATTTTCTTGAGTAACCTTTAAAGTTTCAGTCCCAGAGGACGAGCTTAACCCTTTCAATCATAGCAGTTCACCAAAATTCCTCCAGAGGGTTGCAAAAGACACATCATCAGGTCTGACAGAACACACAAGTTATTGGGTTTATGGGAAAATAACTTTTTCAGAGTACTGTTGAACCTCAGGGGTTATGTTTATGTTTCGTACTACTAATCACTTGTGATCGTAGGGACACGTGACGCCAAAACACATTGATCCTGCCTTTTGGCCTCCTGTGATTGATTGACGAACGTGCTGAATGTCGTTGTTTATTTACAGAGCTGTCTTGCTTCCCACAGGGTTTTGGCTGCTGTGGACGGTCCTGATCCTCTTCAGCTGTTTCTGTGCTTACCGGCACCGCCGAGCCAAGCTGAGAATCCAGCAGCAGCAAAGGCAAAGGGAAATCAATCTAATTGCTTATAACGGAGCCTGTAACTACCCGTCTTCAATGTTGGACCTCAGTATGTTGACTTTATTCTGAAGTAATTCTGAGCAGCTTTAAATGTGATTCATTTGACTGAATCGTCCACGGCCATTTCTTTGACTTGAGGAGCTCCAGATTAGACTGATTAGTGGAAGAAAAAAAATGTTCACAGTGGCAACAACAATAAAATGTTCCATTTGGCCATAACATTTTATATTTAAAAAAAAAAAACCCAGATGGGAACTATTGAGAAGTTCTCATTGGGTCCTCAGCCTACATCATCCATCAGAATCGTTTTGGCTTCTGACTTATCTTACAAAATTTCGTGGACACCAAAGAGCAAAATGTTCTTCACCAAATAAGAACCAGCAGCAAGAACTCCCAAACAGGACTGCAAGAAAAGAATGATTTCTTTTTGTTTGCACAGTTCTGGGAGAGAGAACAAAGTTCCCTTTTATCACAGAATATGTGGCAAATTATGTTTTTTTATCACAGATTTTAAGGTATTATACACCAACACAAAGTATTGCATAATTGTGATTTCTTTTTTATTCAAGTGAAAATCAGAAAAGAGCAGAGCCAAACAGCCAGAGGATTGATGGTTTAAATGAAATTATTTTCATATGTTAGAATGGCTCAAAATCCAAATCTAAATCAAATTCAGAAAATTTGACTTTAAAATTGCTGTTCAAAGATGTTCTCCATTCAGTCTGACTGAGTTAAAGTCATTTTGAAGGACTATCAGCAAAAAGCTTAGTTTCTAGAAATTCAACTCTAGTAGAAACTGAACCCAAAGGGTTTGCAGCTGCAATTGAAAGAATGTGAATATAAAAAGTATTGAACTCAGGGCTGCTGAATGTCATTGCACACCAATTTAGATTCATACTTATGACTGTGTTGAACTCCAATTGAAACTCCAGAGCTAACTTAATTGTTGGAATTTTTATAGCTACTATTTTATCCAATTTTGCTTCCTTTAGCACCGCATACCATCCATCCATTTTCTAACCCTTGTCCCTAGTAGAGTCGGGACAGTATATACCAATAAATACAAAAATATGATCAAATAGTGTTGCTGTGTACAGTTTAGTGATTAAATAAAATATGTCTATGTACTTGGTTTTCTGAAGAAGCCCAGTTAAAATTCAGAAGTTTTTTTTAAGTCGTAAATATTTTATTTTCCCTTTTATTATTATCACAGTAAATACTATAAAATATCATGACATTCAGCAAGGTCCATATGACCCAGCCCTACATTTTGTGCTCATCTATTACAGAAAATTCTTAGAAAATATTCTGAAGTTTGTGTTTCAACATTACAAAGTGCTTAAAGATTTAAGTAATGCTTTAGTCAATTGTAATTATGACAGCAACTGAGTGGCTGCTGGATGTAATTCTTTGTAGCGTTTGGCAATTTTAAAAATGATTTTAAAATTTTGCTGCAGGTTTTCTGACTTCTCTGAAGCTGCCCTCCTATGAAGAGGTGGCTGCCCAGCCCAGCACGCCTCCTCCTCCTTACAGCTCCATCTTCGCCCTCCAGGGAGGGACCACAGCAGGTCCCAGCTCTTCTTACCCTCATCACCACCACCACCGGCACCCCTGTCCTCCGTACCTGGGCCCCGGCACCAGTGGGCTGACCTCTTCCCAGAGCTCCGACAACTACACCAGCTGCTCCTGCGAGTCCTGCTCCCTCACCTCCCCATCCAGCACCTCCTTCTCGGTCCAGGTGACCGACGAGACGTATGACAGCAGCCGTATGTCCACACCCAGTGAAGCCGGGTGTGACTACGCTGTCGTGCCGAGGTCGTCGCCTTCCCCGTCTCAAGTTCCCCCGGATCTGATACCCGCCGCCACTCCTGACGTCATACCAGTGCAGCGACGCTCCTCTGCTGGCAGCGACAGACTCTCGCCGCCTTGTCCTCCGCTTTCCCTCCCTTTACACTCACAACTCTCACATCCCGCTCGCCTCCCTCTCTCCCCCCTCGTCCTGTTATCTTCTGCTCCTCCTGGTCAAGTTCATTTCCTCGTGCCCGCTGACCCATCGGCGGGTGTGGAGGCCTCACCCTCACCTTATAATGAAACACCCTCTCCTTCCGCAAAGGATCTGCACTCACCAAACACAAATAACAAAGAGGAGCAAAACCAAGATAGGGACGAAGAGGAGGAGGACGAAGAAGACGAGGAGGATCATTTCAGTCACAGACGGCTCACAGGCGACTCTGGCATCGAGGTGTGTCGCTGTCATGTGAGGAGAGGAGACGAGGAGCTGCAGAAAGGGCGCTCGGATGAGGGGAAGGGGGAAGGAGCAGTGCAGGAAATCGGCAAAGATTCCCCCAGATCAAAGCTCAGCGTGAAATCATCCGTGTTGGATCCGTGCGAAGAGGTTCCCTCCTCTCCCACTGTCACCTACAAGGCCGATGAGGCTGTCATCACTGTGGAGTCCTCCTAATCTGACAGCTCACATGAAATGGCTCAGTAGGCAGGAGTTAGATATTTATGCTTTACAGCATTTATGTAGACCAGGGCGAGTAGGTGAAGAGTGGGCGAATCACTGAAGGAATGTCTTGCAGATCTTACTGCAATAGTTGAGAGGAGTGTAGGTGTGACTGAGATTTCTGATCACTTTGCAAACAAGGCACTCCCAGAAAAACTTGAAACTGAATATTTATATTAGATGAGAGAAATGCCTGGGTTTTTGACAAAAAAATAAAAATAACAGTGATTCAGTTATCATTGCTGAAACCACTTAGCAATGGCTTTGCTGTTACCTGGCATGCATTGCATGCAAAACCCACAACAGAGGTATTCCTTCTCTCTTTTCTTTGTCTTTCAATCTATGGATACAGTGTTGCCCTAAAAGGGACATATTGACATGGAAACCCCGTGTGTCTGGTTCTGGTTGGCTTTGGACGCCTTTTAGGGAAAATGGGGGTTTTAAGAAGTGAATAGTGAAAAAAAAGATTAAAACTGTAACAATTAAGTTTTTTAAAAAGGATTTGACTAGAAATTTGGACTTTTGTTTAGAGATCCACCAGTTAGTTTGACAGTCTTCCCTTGATCTACTTTGATTAGTGAAATCAAATTAAATATATTTATATTTTTTTCCTTTTCTATCAACTCCCAACATTTTTGGCCTATAAACAACTTTTTTAATTCTCTTACATACAGATTCAGCCACAGATTAGGGTGTTATATTGTAATTCTTTCATTCTTTTCCTTACATTTTAAGGTTCTACCTCTATGAAGAACATGCAGATTGTTTTATTCTATGTTTCATCAGCCGTGGCTGATTCTGAAATCTAGAGCTATGATGACATAGAATCAGTCAAAATTGAAATTGGTAGGTCAGACCTCAAAGAAAACTTTAATTGGGTATGTGCTAGAAAAAGCTGTTGCTTTAATGTTTTTTTTTTACATTGTGGACAGCTGTGTGTGCATTCAGACAGCTAAAATTAAGCTATTTTTGGTTGAACAACTTTCGACTGTTTTAGATTTGATACAGCAAAAACATTGGCTTCCACTGCCTTACAGACCACTACTCATTTCATGTATTAAAGTACAGTAAAGCACATCGTTAAGCCTCTTTAAACACTTAGAAAAATATTAAGGTTCACTCTTGGGTGAATCATAGAAGCCTGCTGCTTCAAAATAAACCTGGATAGTGAGTGATATGTGTTCTTAACTTTCTTTCTACAAAGTTGGATTAACAAATACGGAACAAAGACATGCTAAAAATAAACGGTTTCACCAGCATGCATCCCGTTGCTTGTACAAGAAGCCAGAAAGCAGCAGTGTTTTAAAGCTTTCACATCTTTAGAGTGGTATTATTGTGGTTCCACTTTGTTGTTCCAGACTGTTAGGTGTGCATACTATAATTACCAACTGTTTCACTTTGGACTGAAAGTCTTTTGCTCTTTTTGAAAGGCGACATGAGTCCAATTTCTCCATGAACCCGACTGTTGAGAGTTTATAACATTAACATTTTAAAATTAACTTTTGTTGACTGATGATGAATGTAGAAAGGTTATGCATTCTGACAAGCAAAACACAGCAAGCTGCATGGAGAGCTGCATCACGAAAATGCAGTCAGACATCTGGGTCTGGTTCTGTGTCTTTCAGTATTTTGTAATGTTGAATATCAGGACTGAACTGAAATGAACTGAGATTTTTTTTTGTGTTATTTTCTGACCTTTGCCTCATTTAATTGATGTTTGTAAAATAATGAGCTGAACACAGCGCATGATTTCTACCTGTAAAGTGTTTCCTCATCTGCCTCACTGTTGCTAAGTACATCAGTATGTGGCTATGGATTGGTCATAAAATTTGTCTATGTAGAAAAAAATGAAACAGAATTTCAAGTTTGACCTTTAGAAAAAAAAAATTGAAAACTTACATCTTGAAGGTAAGAAAAAGAAAACCATACACAAAAAATTAAAACTCACAATATTAAGAGAAGCTACATTTAAACAGAAGGAAACTTCAATTTTGATAAAATATTTGTTTTGTTTTGACATCCAAGACTTTCTTCATTTCTGTGCTTTTCAAACAGTATCTTGAAACATACAAATAGTCTAGCCCTGATTTCACGTCGGTACAAATTGTTTAAGTTTGAGACAAAAAATTGTTTCAAATCAATCTTTCTGTGTATTTGTTCTGCTAATGGAATAATTATCTTTGTAGCTCACTGACTAAAGGCCTCTTGACTGTGTCTACATTCAAAAGCTGACTTGATTGTCAGTTAAAATTTTTCTTTTTCATGTAAAGCTTCATGAGCTGAAAAATGATTTCTTTTCAAACTGTACAATGTGTGGTTTGTGACTGTTCTTCCTCTGGACTAAAGAAAATCTCCTTGTAGAAGTGATTTGATCTTAGTTGATCAAAGTATTTTGTGCCTATAGATGAATACAGATACTTAATGAGCCATTCTGTAGTTTCTACATGCTTTCATTAGATTGTAATTAGCTCTACTTTGACAGATGATTTTGAAGTGCTGAAAGTTTCTTTATTTTGTGAACCTTAGAAAGATAAACTGTATTTAGCAATAGTACTTGCACTTTTTCCTTTTTCTATTCCATGCTGATTAATAGGACATAAACTGTTATAAACATTTACCTCTTTCAAAAAAAAAAAAAAGATGTGTGAGCCATGCCAGTTGGAGACTATCTATTCTTTGGCTTAAGGTTCCTCCCAAATGCAAAGTGAGATTATGAGGTCTTACCTTTGATTACCTTATATTTTTATTTACATGTCTAAGCAGCATTAAGTTTGAGATTAAATGAAACTATTTATACATAAAAACTATTTATCTGCAATATTATATATGGCCTTCAAAAACAATGGCCATCTCATTAAAGATGTGTAAAAAGCCTTTGGAAGAGAAACATCCCACTGCATCACACTTTCTGTTTGAAGACCTTTTTCACATATCTGCCATTTTTCATGTCAAAGCACAAGTGAAAATGTCAGCATTGTACACATGTGGTGGTAGGACAGAAAACATTTTTTCTCAAATTCTTCTTCAAAAAAACATTTGGGATGTCAATAGTTCTAATGGTTATGTAGAAGTGTGCTTGATAAAGCAATATTACAACCTTTAAATTTACAACAAAATTTAAAGGTTGAAATATTACTGATTTCTTTGTGTGTAATTACCACTCCTGTAAAAAAAATCACTTCTTTTTAAGGCTTTTTACACATGTTTACAAATGGCACCCACAATATTGGCAGGTGCTTCAGGCTTGCATGTTTGCTTTTCAGTAACTAAAAGATTACATGAATGAACAAAAAATGCAAAGTATAATTGTGCATTTTGTTTTATTACCCTTTTTTTTATCAGTAATGGGTATTGCTTTTTTCTAAAGACCTCTTTATCTTGTTTTTATCTGTTTGACAGTTCTAGATTTGGTGAATTGTTTGTGTGTTTTCATTTCCTACTATATAAAACAAAGCAAAAACAATTTACAGATTTATTTATTTATTTAAATTTTTTTTTTGCAATACTTTTAACAGATTTAAGAAAAAAAATGTTTTTTATTAATTTACCTGGACAATAAAATCAGAAGAAATCAGAAGAGGCCTTATAGAGCTCTGTAAAATACTACAAATTTGTAAACAAAAGGCACAAACTGGAGTCCCTAAGTCAAAGCCAAACACCCTGAAGTTCACATCCTTTCTGCCTTTCCAGCAGCTACAAAAGCCCAAACTATAAGCAAAGGCGTGATGCTAGACTGTTACCTTGCTTGAGTTTTGTGTGCAGAAGACTGTTTGCTCCTTCGTCTGAAGCCGTTTTCTTCTTCCTCTGAACTCACGTTGTTGCAGCTGGATGACACCTAAACATCAAACTGTTTTCCTTTAACTCGTGCAGAAGTGAGACAGCGGGAAGTCTAACAGTATCTAAATGTGGTTGTTTGTGTAGTACTTCAGATTAATATTATTACTACGTGTGATGTCCTTTGAGGGTATCTTTGTGCAACTCTACCTGCAGCTCCTCAGCGTGTCGTACGCATGTGTGAGAGTTTTTGTGAGGCTGTGTTGTTAAAATTGTTGCTTATTGTAAGTATTTATGGTAGCTGTCATAATGTCCTTTGAGTAAAAATACTCAGTTCCATGTATACCAAGTTATTTTTTTTATATCCTATTAGAAATTGTAGCTATTATGAATGGAGGTCATGTTTTTTTATTTTTGTCTATTTGCTTTTCAGTGTCGGGTTTACTCCCATCAGATACATGTGATCAACAAAAATGTTTTTTGATAAAATAAATTAATTAATATGATATAAAAATCAATTCACATGTCTCTATTTCCTTTATTGTGTTTCATTGCTTTAGGTGTCCTTTGTGGTGTAAATTCTGATGCAAAGCCCAATGTGCTAAAAACTCCCACTCACAGGAATCTGTCACTCTGAGTAGATTCCTATGAACCACGAACCCAGAAAGCTCTTCACACATTTCCAGTTTACCATCGGTGTTGTAATTTGGCTCACAGCTAATTGTGTCAAGTCGACCATCCCGACGTCTGACCTGCCATTCGTCACAACTCCTCGAACTTTTTCCACAGATTTTTACACTACAACTAGGATACTAAAAGTGTTTCAAAAAACTTTTAATGACTTTATAAAAAATTGTGAATGATCTTTTTGTGTTTTTAGAAATTGAAAACATTTTTGATATGTCTCGCCATTTTGCGTGATATGTGAATACACATTGGAAAGCTCAGTCAGTGTGCAACTGACAAACCTTTTTTTTAAATGTATTTGTTTATTTATTTTTGCACTTTAGGTAATACTTGGAGGGAGGGCCCCCACAGCATGGAGTCATGTGGCTCATTATAAAGGCTCACACTGGTTTCAACAAATGGTTTTTACTGTACCGGTATTTTATTTATGAATGTAAAATAGGAAGGCTAAATACACATGCTTGCCACATTTTTAATATCTTTATTTGTAAGATAAAAAAAAATCTCTTAAACTCATGTATTATTTCCCCTTCATTTCCATATGGCAGTGCCCTTGCATTATTTTGTGTTAAATGCAGAAACATAGTTTTGCAAGACCCTGCATGTGCTTATTATGCAGCAACTGATATGTTACGTCCAGGTAAGAATTGCTCCACTGTTAGGTTTGCTGCGCATTTACATAAAATCAAAAGAAAAAAAGAATAAAAACTGAAATCAACTTATGGCTTAGAAGTTGCTCATAGTATCTCTATGGCAGATAATACAGTCTTAGCACTGTCAATCATCCTAGTGAACATGCTGCTTACACTCTCCCCTTGCTCTTTGCTACACTGCAGTTTTTCCCCGTAGGCATAGGCCTACCCTACCCTACCATGAGTGCTCAGGCTAGTTAGCATGAGCACTCATGCCACCAATAAAGCCGGTTAAACATTTTTCCTAGAATGGTAAGTTGTTTCTCTGCCACGAGCACATTTGGCAGCATGTACTTAAGCCTGATTAACAGTACAAGGAAAAGTAAATGCAATCCAAATGTAACTACTCACTACCCACCTCTGGTTCTATTTGCATTAAGCTAGATTTAGCGTGCAATAATAAAAGAAAAGAATCATATAGCAGCAACTAATAGCTGCAGCTAAGCAGCCTCGCATTTTATCACACACACACACAAAAAAACAGTCAATTGGACAAACAGGGCCCCAGTAATTATTCCAGACCATTTAAACTCCTGTTTTGCTTCCACATTATGGCTCTGCTCTGTGATTGGTCGGGCCGGAACAGCACCCACCCCCTCTGCTGACCACTCCCCATCCGTGTATTTTTCCACGTGACTCTTCTTCTGAACGCTCCTGTAAAGTTAAAAACAGACTTTGTTTATCTTGCAGGCGGTTTGCTGAAATCCAATCCGACCAGCGAGCTTGCCCTACTTCCCCGACGACTTTATCAGTATTATTTTTTTTATTTTCCGTCTTCGCCGCTGACACTTCACTCCTTCACTCCGTAGCATTTCGACACTCTGTGTCATCATATTTTAAAAATTTTTTTTTACCCCTTTGGAGCTCTTTAATCGGGGACGGTGCACGAGCGAAACAAGGAAAACAGTTTAGGCGTTCCGGTTTGTTTGTTTTTCCCTCCACGCATCTCAATCTGTGCGGACGAACCAGCGCAGCTTTGTTCCGGGTGAGGGGGGGGAATCTCCTGCCGCCGACTGCAGCCCAGCGCCGTGACTGTGAGGTGGGTTTTTAACCGAGCACTCGAAGAGAGAGAGAGAGAGAGAGAGAGAGAGCGCCATGGCGACCCAAGTGGATGCGTTGTCCTCCGCACCTCAAGCCGACGGTGAGTACGTGATCTCGGCCTCACGTTTTGTGGCGGACCGCGCGCGGGATGGAAACAACAACAAAAAAATCAAAACTGTGAGACGGGGGCCTGCAGACGTGCATTGTGTCCGTGCATGGGATGGGCTGCAGCGCTAGCCATGCTCCACCATGTGCCCTTGTTGAAAACACACACGCATACACACGCGCACGCGGAGCCAGCGCACCGCTTAAGTGCGGGACGCGCTGCACTTCGAAGCAGATGCTCCTTTTTGTTGCACTCAAGCCGATGCTATTTTTTGCTTCGACGAGTTTTATTTTATTCGTGGCAACTGTGCTTGTTTGGCTCGTTTCGCGTTCAAGCCTGCCACGGTCTTTGATTGGACGAGGCCACTTCCGCTTTGCACTCGAGATGCACACTCAGGTCTTTGCGTTTCCATTTTAACGTGGAGTAACGTGGAGTCGCCTGCGTCTTTCCCCATGTCGGCTTTATTTGCAAGAATCATCAAGGCGCACACGGACACCTTTTACTTGTTTTTTTTTTCGTGCACTCCTATTGCGTTCATTAACGTACTGCAGATTTATCTTGCTTTCATCCAGAACATTGATTTTTATATGTCTTTTTTTTCATTCAGGGGGGACTCAATCTAAATACCATCTAAAATAATTCATTTGAAATGCAATAAATAAATAAATAAACGATCTTCATAATATCCTCAGAAATTATTGCACAGCAATAAGAATGTAATATATTTTCTTCCTTGTTAATAACAGAGCTCCACATACACTGGCTCCATGCTCCCTCTCCTTTATGCCAAGAAATGACGTCAGCACGTATATCCCACAAGAGGCACCAGGAGAAGGCTTACGTAATCTTGTGATGCTGTGTATTTAACCGTTGCATAATGAAACGTATGTGCTGGGGCTGACACATGGAAAGTTAAATGCAAAAGCATCGGCATGAGATACATGGCGTTCAAAATATTTCACAAATAAAAATCTGAAAAGTCTGGCACGTAGTTGTATTCAGCTTCCCTTTTCTGTGATACCGCTGCTTGTAATCACGTGCAACCAGCAAAGGGCCAGGCAAGGAGAGAAATTAGTAACTCTGGAGGATTGCGGTGAGCCACAGCTCAGGTGAATGAATCTGCTTTGCAAGAAAGCCATTAGTCACATGTCAAGAACAAGTTATTATTATTAGAAAAAAGCCACACATTTCCCTCATTTTTTTTTTTTAGTTTTGTTTTGCTCAACCACCGAGGTGTAGAAGAAGATGCTGTGAACACAATCTAAGTTTTTAGCCCTGCATGTGTTGTAAAGCTGGCATCATTCCCTCTTATGAAACGTGGTGGTGGCAGCGTCATACTCTGGATATGAAGTATTTGCTTAGCCAACAGGAGGATCGCTGCGCTGAATTCATCTACTCTCATTGTCCTCAAAAGAACAGTGTGGGAAGACTTGTGGCGCTGATTTTAATTCTGTATCCAGTCGTGATTTAGGAATGGCGAGAGGAGGCTCATTTTCGTGGGAAATGTTTTGTGAAAGAGCTAAGAGTATTTTCACAAAGATTAAATTTCACAGGTTCACTGTACTAGCTGGTTTCTGAGCGTTATCGTTTGCACTGAGTATTCTTAGTTCATCCAAATGAGGGAGACCAAATCAGATGTAGTCTGCTATTTTCAGATTTTTATTAATAAAAAAAAGTTGAAAATTGTTTCTCAACTCTGCACTACTTTGTGTTGGTCATCACTTAAAAACATAGTAAAATACTTTGAAACTTATTGCTTTAATGTGACAAAATCTCAAGCGTCATGAACACTTTTCTTGCAAGGCGCTTACCTGAGGATGATAAAAAGATGATGTCCAAACTCGAATGTTCTCTTCGGCCAGATTCAGTCGATGAAGCACTCTCTGTTGTTGTTGACATGCTGTCTAACAGTCCATTGTCTTTGGCTGGACGGCAGCTGGCTGCTCCTTTGTGCAATATGGGTCAACATAGACATTCAGTTCACCCAGCAGTGGGTCAAACTAAGCAGACCTTAAAGACACTTGTTATGATGCAATGGTTTTAATATCACCTATAGTGATCACTGTTATGGATTCTTTTGAACACTCATGCACCAAAGAAAGTTAGAGTGATAGTGTTGTTTCAGCACCCAAAGTAATGTGATTACACATGTGGCTGAACTTTTCCTCTAAGGAATGCAATTAATGTGAAGAACACCCTGAATAGCAGTGAGAGCAAGAGTCAGGACGTCATCAAAACAGCACCGCTTTGTGCAGTAGTACCCCTGCATATGAGCATGATGAATGAAGTAAATGAGGTGAAATTATATCCCAAGCATCATAAATTCAAACCTTGCATGTCATTAACAAGATATTCAGTCTGTTGGAAATTCCAAAATGCCACACATCTTGCAATGCATACGATAAAGTTCACATAGATTGTTGAAGCGACCATTGAAAAAATAGAGGAGCAAGGAAAATGCAGGGGCTCTTTTAATTCTCAATTGATTTCATCGCATTTTCTGGGAATAGTAATGGCAGAAGATAATTTTTAATACAGAGTTTTAGCCTTACTCATTTGATCCTCCAGACACCAGTTCATGATAGGTGCTGCTGTAGATGGAAAGGCTGAACAAATTGATCTGAATCCTTTTCCATGGCTGCTTCCCCTTTTCCTCCCTGATTGGTTTCTTTGTAAGCTTTGCCTTAATTAAATAGTTGCATTAAATATAAGCACTGCACTAGCGCATTCAGTTTTGGACAAAATACAAAACCAGTGACACCCCTTACGCAAACAAAATCTGGCTCCAGAGCAATGTGTATGAATGTTTTTCCTTTGTTCGTCCTGCTAATGTTGCTGGAAAGATATTCAATAACATAGACTCCAGTGTGCACACGTGGTAAAATGAGGCTCATCAGAAATTTCTCTACATGTCAGACATTCAGCAGCAATGATGGGTGTGGCAGAAAATGCTGCAGGTCCTTTTTGGAATCATTTTCTTGCTCTCTAAAAAATGTTTTTACCAGTACGTGTGGTTTTAATTACGAGGTTCCATAAAAGTGAAGACAGAGACAATACTACTTTTCTTTGGCTTTTCTGTTATATTGCATTATTCAAGCACACACCTCTCTGCTTTTGCAGGCATTTTCTTGGTCTTATCCATCAACAATATCACCTCCTGCAGATTCTAATACATTATGTTTGGAAAAATTCAATACCAGATCGGTTTGCTCAGTTCAATCTTTTTGTGTGTTTCAGAAATCATATCATTTTCTTCCAAAGTCCTACTATTAGCCTGCATCTTCTGCTCCTAATGTTGGACACTTGCTGACTTTTCAGCTGGATGCTTAACTATAATATAACCCCCCCATTTGTGTGAACTGTGATGTAATTCCTTCACTAAACGTGTCTGCATCTTGGAAGAAACTATAGATGTCAAGTCCGATTTCTCTGTGGCCCATTGAGTACATTTTATAATTTTATGAGCATCTTGGTTGTAACCCTCCTCTCCACCCGCTTGTCAACCTTTGGTCCACTCATGCATTAATGACATGTTTGCTCACACTGTCTGAATCCATTTAGTTTCACAGGTATAAGGATGGCGAACCCATCCTTCCCCTGTCATATCTCAATCTGCTTGGGGAAGTTGCTAACTAAGCCAAGCCTGTACCCTGTTTATCTTTTCTCCCCTAATCATTTACATGCAGTTTCTTTTTTTGAGGTTCTGTCTTGTCAGGTAAAGTCACCCTAGAAGCTGACTTGATACATTTCTTGAAATACAGCTACAAGTTTTGACAGTGAAAGCAAACATTTCTTGACTGGTAGCTTGTGTGGTCTTTCCTTCAGTTTTCAGCTGTTAGCACACAAGATTGTGCTGTTTCTAACAAACCTGTATTTAGGGGAAAGATTTCCATTCTGGCTCTCTTTCATAAAAGCCTGACAGTTAAACCCCAAAGCACATCCACACCCTTCCTCCCATGTCTTACAGATAAAGCAGAGCTAGGCTGCCATGCCTTATTCCTTTATCTCAGCACAGACTCATAGGTTCAGTTTTTTTTATTTTTTTTTTATTGTTCTTGTTGTTGTTTTAGTCTTCAGCATCATACCTAATGGTAACATTATATACCACTGTCTACCTGGCTCGTACAAATAATAAAATCCCCAAGTTTAATCAAACAGCTGAATTTTTCTCTCACTCTTTCCTTGCAGCATTCAGCAAGTGCAAACAGAGATACTGTATTACTGGTGTGTGCAAGTACTGTTTTCTGTCTCTCTTCAATTAGTTGTCCATCAAATACATAAAAAAAATAAAATAAATTTAAGATGTAAGGAAAATTACATTGAACCTATAACCAGTACAGATGCAGTCCTCTGAGATTTATAAACCAGTTCAGCTTTTTCCTTGATTTTTTTTTCTATGTTCCACTTTGTGTGTGTGAGTCGGAGGTTTAGTTCTAGAAAGAAAAATACAAAAATGATCAGAAGTTTACAGTTTACTATAGCAGTGGCAAGCATCGCTACTGTAAACACCGGCCTGTGTGTACTAATAACTTTTAAGGCCCATTCTGGGTTTGTGCTTCTGACCTCCTAACATTGTACAACTAAGATCAACAATCATGACAGCTAAAGTTTTTGACCATACAAAAATGACCTTTGAGAACTAAAAGTAATGAAGATTTTTCAGCCAGCACACCGATACTGTGGAATAATGTCCTAGATGAGCTCAAATAGTTAAATTTAGCTTCATATTTTAACTCCTTTTTAAAGACATATTGAAACTTGGAGAATCTACGGCGATGAGGGATTTTGTTGCTTTCCTCGTGTAAAAATATTCTCCTAAATTAATACATTTTGCACATTAGCTTTTGCTATTGGATCAGATGTTTAATTAAAACAGCCTCGTTGTGTTCATAAGTCACCTTCAGACGTGTTATAAAGCCATACAGGAATACTAATGCTGATTAAGCTAATATGTGTCTCTTTCAGCTACAATGTTTGGTTCTTGACTCGAGATGTTTGTGTTCATAAACACTTTGAACTCAGATTTCACTTGCATAAATGTAAATTCCCTCTTCCAACATTAATCTAACAGCACATCCTTTTTTTTGCTGCCAGTTTTGCTGCTTGTATGGTGAAGCTTTTTTTTTTTGTTGAGTGGAAGAAATCTATAAACAGTGCTCTAAAACAGTCTGTATTTAGAGCATTAAAAACTGTCCCTATGTGAGTCATGTGAAACTTCTGCCCCACTGACTCCCTTCTCATTCATAAACACTCCTACTTCATGCACGCCTACATCCAAACACTTTAGCAGGCTTGCAGGCTGTGGAGTCTGCCCACGAGCCTTTGCAGAGACCTAATTTCTATGTTCTGCACCTTTGGTATAGATTGTAAGCTGATTAAATGCAAATATGTTTTTGAGGATCACTACTCCAGTTTTGGAGCACACTTGGTGCTGCAGTTTCAGCCAACTGTCGGCGACACTCGGAGCTGCCGTTGTGTTGTGCAACTCTCAGCCGTTACGGTCAAGCTCTGTTATCACAGAGCAACATTGTCCTCGCTGTGTTCGGGGGCAGTGCTGTTCTGCTTGTTTTGCAAGGCCCGTCTTGGCAAACGGATTTGAGTTTTCCTGCAAGCTCCTATTTTGCTGGGTGCTCCTTTCCAGTTGGCTGCAGAAGCGGTTTGGCCTGCAGCCATTGGTTAGTTCCTAATTTATGACCTTGCTTGGACCTGTAGCCTACATTAGGGAAGGAGGAGGAGGTGCCAAAGGAAGAGATGACACATGGACGGCTGTTTACAGATTTCTGAAGGCCATGGGTGTGGCTGTGTGCTTGCATTGGAGCAGGTTAAGTTGGGTATAAATTGCTGACTCAACTGAAATCTGCAGTGTTTTTACCTCCTGTTGTGCATAGCTGTTTTAATAAGAATATTAAGACACTCCTACTATTTTCTAAAAATAAAAAATATGATAGAAGTTTCAGTGTTTCAATGTTTTAAGAATTGTACCACTTTGATCAGAGGTTCACAGTGGTTTTTGATAGTATTCACTCTTTGAAACTGATCATGTTTATTTGCTTTAAGACTCCAAACTTCTGTGTATTTTATTGGGATTTTACATGATAGACCAACAGAGTATTCATAAATATGAAATGGAAGAGAGAAGAAAGCACAACGGGACCATCAAACACTTGAATATGCTTTGACTTAAACTATTCCAATTGGAGTTCTGGCTCTGTTATCCTCTTTCTATTTGGTCTTTCCATCTGTGTATCAACTCCCAACCAGCTTTCCTGTCCTCGCTAAAGAAAAGCATTCTCACAGTACAATGTTGCCACCATACAATGTTGCCACCACATGACGTGTAGTACTTCCATTACATGTTGCATTTTTCAAGATCAGCGCAAACTCCAGGGCATCTTTCGCCAGCGGTTTTCTTTTTGTCACAATTGTATAAAGACTAGATTACAAATTAACAAAAGGTTCTTCTGGAGCTGTGGATATCTGCAGCTCTTCCAGAGTTACCAAGTTTGTGGAGTGTGACAATACTTTTGCAAGGCAGTGTAATTCTTTGTTCCAAAATACTAATTGTTTAATCGTGCCCTGCTACTATGATACTAATCTCCCTTAAATTGTATGGTAGGTCTGTGCATTGTTATCAAAAATGCATTGTTCTGTTGTCAAAATGCAAGATGCACAGTCCAAAAATTATTATGCAAGCGCAATGAATGTTTTAGAGTATGTTGTCTAAGGCCTGCAGTGCATATTCAAGCTGTCATGGAAAAGGAAAATGATTGGTCCAAGGAAGTTAGGTATTTGTTGGTTTCTTAGGATTTCGTTTTCCTGAAACTGGTCAGCTCTATTGTGCAGCAGACCAAAGGGAGAACCATGTGGAGGACAGAAGCTCCTTTAAAATGTTCAGTTTACCTCTGTGTGCGTTTATAGGCTCTGCAATCTGCTATTTGAGGGATTCAGGTTTTAATTACATCTTGTTCCTGTGTCGCCTCATTGCTGTTTTTCATACCATGTGATCAAGCTTGCATCCACTCATGCCATATGTAGTCAGGTCCACTGTTTAAAAAAAAAAAAACTGGTGTCAGCATTTCTCCAGCATGTGCTCGCTTCTCCCTGTCTGTCCCTCCCTGTCACCACTGCAGCTGTGCTCCTCTTCTCTCTGTGCTGTTCTACACACTTTAATCTGACTAAATATAGGATTTCACACACACAGGAGTAGTAGTATGTTAACTTGACCCAACGCATGTCTGTATATGTTGGAAGGTAGGGGTGAGTTTTCTGGACCACGTGTTTTAGCTTGCAGCATTTGCTAAATTCTTGATATCATTCTTTTCTCCCTAACTTGTGGGGAGAAACAGCATTCAGGAATCTATTTGGTGCTACTTCAAGTTTATATTCAACAAAATTACCTGCTACTTCAAGTTTATATTCAACAAAATTACCTCCAGAAAAGGCTATTTTAGGGAGCTTGCATTTTAGGTATGTAAGCATACCTAAAGACACAGTGCAGTAAGAACAGTTCCTCTCAGAAAAAAGCTTATGTTAGCAAATCACGCACAACAAAACCAAAACAAACCTCTCAGCTTTTAGCAGAAACGAAAAGAGTTGTGTGATCGTATTGCAACCCTGAGCTTACAAATGAAAAAAGTAGGTTTTAGGGATATAGAAAATTGTTCAATCGTACTTTTTTTCTTCCGGTTAGATTCATTTACTGTTTGCACACCAAGCAACACCAAGCCCTTTTGCATACATAGTTCTATACAAAGGTCAAGAGCAGTGGTGTCTGAAAGAATGTGGAGGTTGGGAAGGCCAGACCAGCAGTTGGGATAAATCGCATGGGGGATAGCAGTGAAAGCAATGAAATATGTTTTTTCATATGGTCTTACTATGATTTTGCAGTTATATAGCCAACAACACAAATCTGAGTCTCTTCGCAAACACAAATAAGCTTGAAATATCAAAGAGTTTGGAGAATGTTCTTCACTGTTTATTTGGATTGCTCAGAACTGTTGGCTGCTGATCAGAGTTGTTTGAATTTTAAATAAAAAAATTCAAGTTATCTGATGGTGTGCAATTGCAATATCAGAATGAGCAACATTTATATGGCAAAGGACTGTTTGGAGTAATATGATTGTTGGATAACTTGTTCCACATCTTATGAACTCGTATTTTTCATGCTAAGGTAATAGTTACTCAGTTAAAGACTCATGTCAGTGGAAGCTCAAATTACGTTGCCAAAATACTAAAGGTCATAGAGTGACTGAAGCATAGATGAGAAAGAGAAGAAAGAAGAAAATAGGCATACATTTCAAATGTCAACTGATATTGTCCTGTCAATATTTGCCATTATGATCATTAGTGCAAGATGTTCTAACAATGTGGAGCCCTAGGTTGACCAGCACTGACAGATGACCAGTTAGCTGCTTAAAAATGATTTTTTCGACCTCAAAATTGTGGCTTAGTCTGTGCGTCTCTACTTTTGATAAAATTTGTATAATTCCTCTTTTCTAACCACAGGGGCGGCTACCTTGGATCACCAGCCCGAGACCAGCTGTCCTTATAGTGATGACGATGATGGACTGGACGAGGCGGAGGTCAATGGCAACTGGACGCCCCAAGAGAAAGCACTCCACGAGGCTCGCCTCAAAGCCAAAGCCAAGCGCCGCCTGCGCAGATCCTCATCCCGCAACTCGACAAGCGAGTCCGTCTCAGAGTCAGGCGAGACGCCAGGAGGCGACCCGCATGCCGTGAAGGGCAAAGTTCACAACAACGACCGCAAGTCGAGGACAGGCAAAGGCAGAGGCTTGCCAAAGAAAGGTAGATGTGATTGTTGATCTGATTACTATCAGCTTCACATCTGGAGATGTTTTCGGATCAAATTCAAAGTTAGTTTTCTTCTCGCAGCATAACTAAATTTAACTGAAGTTATTATGACTTCCTGTCATTAACTGTGCAAATTAGTTATGTTAAAGAACTTCCTTTAGTTCACGTTTTTGCTGTGCTCAGGTGGGGCAGGTGGAAAAGGAGTTTGGGGTGCTCCTGGGATGGTTTATGAAGCTGAAGAACCGGACGTACGAGACCCCAACTATGATGAATCTGCTCAGGTCAGTGGGTCTCTATGGGGATGTCTCTTTCCTCTCTCAGATCATCTGTTTTTCCAGACATGGAACATATTTTCTCCGGTTTCATTAGAGGATCTTTCAACTTCTGCAGTTGCAGACATACATCATATGTCTCCAAGAGCAGCATAAGTTTATGATATTAAATTTGATGAAGCATCTTTGAACTCCGTATGTTCTCACCAGCTTTGTTGTTGACTAGAGAAACCGGATCAGAGGTCATAGCAAAATAAGGGCACCTTTTTTTTATACTGATATAAAGAACACTCCAGCATTTCCATTGTGACATCCCTAATCTCTTTGCTTCAAGCAAGCAGAGCTGCTTATTTTTTTGTCTCCTTGTCACAATATAAATATGATACTATTTCCTCAGCAGTATAAATTTTGAAGTAAAAATTAAACAGAAACTGAAGCATAAATCGATTTTCATACCTCTGGCACATTCAGATAACTTTGTGTCTGTTATTGTATTTTCCCAGGAAGCAAGATATTTGTTCATATTCAAACATAATTAGAACTAACAGATAATAAATAACCCATAGTTAGTTTTGTTCACAAATGCCAGATTCACACACGCATACAGGTCATACAAATCAAATCAAAATCGAAATGTATTTTCTTATAAAGTAATGACATTATTAGGGGAGTAACATAAAAAAGACTACCAGCACATCAACAATCATTCCCATGTCTGAACAGCAGCAGCAGTAGTTCGTTCTGAACCTCCTCCTGCACCTGCACAAAATAATTACTGCAGAAATATATATTTTTGTCTTGTAATAAAACCAGAGATCCGGCAGCAGTCATAGTTTGTAGAGACATAACACTGCATGTGATTTGGCCAAAGCTCATTAACAACACGCCGTCTCGCTCGATTGTTTAATCCAGATGGCCCCGTCCCATTACAATCAACGCTGTTTTCAATCTTTAACCCCGGTTATCATGTGAATGCGGGACGTGATGCTGATGGGCTGGCGTGCTTATCTCCCGGCCTCGATCACACAACTGCATTACTGCCTGGGAATTCGGCTTCTGTTTGTTTCAAAAAAGAAAGAACGATTAAAAAAAAGGGTCCTGATAACGATTTTTGGAATTGGCTCAGAGAAGCTGATTTGATTTGGCCTTGACTGGTGCAAAAAGTCAGTTCAAATATGTTGAAGGGGAGCAGGGACGGAGTGGTACCGAAAAATAAATGGGGACACAAGCAGTCGGTGTGGCCTTTGAGTCCGACTGCGGAATAGATCAAGGACTACTGAACGCTACAGGGTCATTGTGTGCTTGGGAAAATATCAAAGTGTAGGGGGGGAAATGACTTATTTGGAAACTCTTACAGTCTTATAATAACAGAAAATAATAAATGGGCCCTGCAAAAGTCTTTACACACCTTGAACTTTTGCACATTTTATCACATTGCAACCACAGACTTCATTCGTTTTTACTAATATTGTAACGAAAATCTGAGATGTGTACTAATTTAGTCTCACACCAACCCTGAGCCAGACCTTTATAGAACCACCTCTCACTAAAACTGAAGCTTACAAATAAAACTCTCTATCAATGTGGGACAACTAAAATCTTATTTTTATTTTCAAGTCTTTCCCCATATTCTTCATTGCATTAGAGCCTGACATCAACTATTCCACTGCAGCTCTGGTTGCATGTTTATGGTTGTTTTGCTCCAGGAAAGTGAACGTCTGCTCCAGTCTCTACCAAGTTTTCTTTCAGGATTTTTTTTTTTTTTGTGTTTAGCTCTTTGATCTAAATAAAATAGCTCAAGGTCAGTCAGATTCAATTGTGAGCATCTGAAAAAAGAAATTTTTATAGATTGTCAATCAGATTTAGATCTGGACTTTGAGTAGGCCATTCCAGAGGTGAACCTTTAGAATGTTTGTTCAGGTCTTCTGCTGCCGCTAAGAGGATCTCTTTCAGAACTTTTCTTTATGTAGCGCTAATTCATCGTTCCATCAAGTCTGACTAGCCTCTCTGTGTCGGCTGAAGAACAGTATCCCCAGAGCATGATACTGCCACCACCATGTTTAGCTGCACGTCACTGTGCGATGTGCAGTGTTAGCTTTTCTCTACACAAATTGTTTTATTAAGGTTTTATTTATCTTTACTTGTAAAACGTGGCAAAATGTGAAAAAGCTTTAGGCTTGTGATTACACTTCACTTTGTGTACTTCGTGTACAATTTGGGGGCATTTGTGACTCATTGTGTGAATGTGTTTCTGCCACAGGGTGACACTGTTTATGAAACGGTTGTGCCAGAGGTGGAAGAGAAGGAACTAGAAAAAATGGTAAACCCGATCGTATTGGAGTACTTTGAACACGGAGACACAAAAGAGGTCGAGGTAAACGATTAAAACTGTGCATTTCCTTTTGATTTTCCTATGCATACATTGATCAGGGAGAAATATGTTGCTTTAGTGAGTGTAAATGTTAAGAAACATTAATGATAGTGATGAATAGACGGCATACTTTGTTAATAGAGTGACAGATCCTGTTCAATCCTGTGGTGCTTCCAGGTGTTGCTGAAGGAGCTCAACCTGGGCCAACATAAGTACGAGTTTACCTCTGTGGCTGTGTCCCTGTCCCTGGAAGGCAAGGCCAGTCACAGGGAGCTGACTTCCCGCCTGCTGTCCGATCTGTCGGGGAAGATGCTCACGCAGGGTGAAATGGCCCACGCTTTCGATAAGATGCTGAAAGAACTGCCGGACCTCATTCTGGACACGCCGGAGGCCCCTCAGGTAGGCCTGACACCCTGAGAGAGAAACGGTGGCAGCCAGAGCTCTGGATCTGATCTTGGTATTGTTTGCTTAGTAGGGAGGAGAGGCAAAGCAGGGCTTAAGACACTTAAAAGATTAAAAATAAACACAGCCCATTTTCATTAGTGTTTGTGCCATATAAGATTGCCGGTTTGGTCGAGTTTTAAGCCAAGGCCGCACTAACTGATCAGACATTTCGAATAAGACTGGTGTAGTTTTTAGAATACAATTAACTTATTTGTTTTTAAGAATAACATGTTTTCTCCAGTGCCTTTTGGACGGTATATGAATATACACTGTATCTTATCACATAGAGGTAGTCTTCACTGTTCACCTATATAATACATAATTCACCTTCAGTAGGTGTTGGTTTCAAACACTTTACACTGTGAACAAGTGAAATGTGGATTTTATTTTCTTTTGTCTCAATTTAATAGGCTCTAAAATGTAAATGTTTTGAAAATTGCAAGATTTGCACATTATTTTATATTTTTGACTATCTCATAATCTATAAAGAAGATACACATCTAACATTGCTAACAAAAATGTTGAATGCCTGCTTAAGTAAAAAATTGCTGTTGTTGTACTTGAATAAAATTATTCACTACTTGAATATAGCCTTTGTGAGACGAGCTTTGTACTCGTTACTAGCTTTGTAAAAGCACTAATCAAGTGTTAAAGAAATAAAAAAAAGTGTGTTTTAAACCAATCTGGATTAGTTGAGATTTAGGCATCACCCAGATCAGGATAGATGGAAAAAGAAAATGAAAACATATTTGTTTTTTCAGACTTTATTTCCTATCTCATTGTCTAGAAATCATTTCCATCTAACACAATAAATTTGAATATTCTATTATAAATTTGCTACCATAATGTCTGTTTGAATTTTGACTTTTGAGCCTGGAAATGTGTAAAAATTTCTTCTGGAAATACATGCAGGAATCTTGGTTAGATAACAGACGTTCCGTCCAAAGTTGCAAAACACTGGACCATTTTTTTCCCACTCTTCTTGAAGACGTTTCCTCTTGTTTCTTTCAGATGTTAGGTCAGTTCATAGCCCGAGGCATAGCCGATCACGTCCTTCCCATGGACTTCCTGGATAGCTACAAAGGGAAAGTGGATTGTGACCATGCAAGGTAAGCCAGTATAAGTTGCGTTGACCTTATTGTGGATTTCCAGAAACGTCAGTGTTTACTATTTTAATAAATAGCACTGTAGACATGGTGGGTATTTTTTCTTTTCTCTTTGTGCAGAGTGGCTTTAGATCGTGCTGCAGTGCTGCTGTCCATGAAAAAAGGAATGATTGGTCTTGATAACGTGTGGGGTGTTGGTGGAGGTCTGAGACCCGTTAAACATCTTGTCAAAAAGGTGAGCAAAAACTAAGTAATGAAAGTGTTTTGCTTTCAAATAAAAAGTCATTTAAAATGAACTATGATTCAGTGATTTATTAAGCAGGGTCTAACACCAGGGCACAAAGTGTTTGTATTGACCAGGTAGGGATCTTTGTTGTTGTTATGTAACATAAACAGAAGGCAGAAATGCATGCTGGGTAGAGATCTGCAGGGCAGTGCTCTGCTGGACTGCTGTGTCAGCAGAGCGTTTTGTCCTCTCAGGAGTGTCCACAGTGAAAACGAGGACACAGCCGAGGCCAAAACACCTTCTGTTTGTGTGCCGCAGCTTTGTTTTGATTACAGTCACCCTCCGTCTTCAGATTTGGGTGATTTGAAGTAATGGCCGGTCACATTGTTGTACAACATTCACAAGAACTTGTGTTCAGAAATGAAGCAATGTTGTGTCAGGTTGTGCACTCAGTATTGTGTGGCCTTCAGACCTTGGAACTGTCCTGTCCGGTTTTGATTTCCTGGCTGAGATGAGTGTAGGTGCAGACGACTGACACACTCAGGAGCTTAAGGACAATTTGTGTGGGTTAACCTTTCCAGCTCTATCTCGAAGTCTGTTGAGATGAATGTATTATTTAATTGGAAAGCAATGTAATCAGATGTTGTTTCTCTCGTCTCTCAGCGGCAGATTTGCTGTAAAAAGTGGGAAACATGGATTATTTTCCTATTAAACTAGCTGTTGAACTTTCTCTCTCCATATGCATTCATCATTCCCATCAACGTGTCTCTTTAGTGTCAACATTATTGGCCCAGATTATCTGGTAATGTGAGAACACACAATTACAATCTCCCCAGAGGAGTAAATAGTTTCACACTTTTACGTCCCACTACACAGTGCTGCTGACTTTTCAGCAGATTATTGATGGATGTCTCCCATTTTGCTTGCATCCTCTTTCCCAATCAACAGCATCACGTGCATTGATCCCTCTGACACAATAAAATGTGGGATGTAATAAAGGATCACGTTTGATTTAAGATGCTAATGTCTGAAATCTCAATATGATTGGGCTCAACTGGAACTTATTGTAGCTTTTCAGTGATATTTTATGATCTTTGTTACCTTTCAACCACCCACACGAGTTTCTTTGATTTTTGGGACTCAAATATTCAGATTTCCATCTGAATGACTTGGAAGCATTGTTATAACTGAGATGTCTTGAAGCATCTTGCAGAGATGACACTTTTCTCACATCTTAACCGGTGGCTAATTCCTCCATAAAAGGATTCAAATGAAGAACCTTGGTATGATCTGACTTTTAAGCATAGTGAAAAAAATGTGCAATTGGGTTGAAGTTGGGGTTGTTCTAGCATACTGCGAGCATGCTTTGTGGGTTGCTTTGTAAAACCCAAAATCAGTTTTTTATTTTGTGTTTGGGATCATTTTCATCCCAATTTCAATCATCTGTTGTTAAGTGTCTTCTTACCCTTCAAAAATATAATTCAGTGAGCCTTACATCTTGTTAGACTCCAGTTGATTCATTAGACTTTGTTCCCCGGTTCCCTGTAATGATTTATTTGTCCAAGCAACATCAACTCTGACTGGTGCCTCATTTGTGTTTGCTGCAGATGAACCTTCTCCTCAAGGAGTACCTGATATCCGGGGACGTGTCCGAGGCTGAGCGCTGTCTCCGGGACCTGGAAGTCCCTCACTTCCATCATGAGCTGGTCTATGAGGTATTCAGTCCGTCTTGCTTCTGTTTCTGGTGCTTATTTGTTCTTCACCAGTTTATTACAACACATTTCCAAGCGAAGATGTGTGGGTCAAAACCTTTAAAAAGTTTTTTTCTTTTTGTTTCTTGCTTATGTGTTGTCAAGTAAGCCGAAGACAGAGCTGTACTCATGAATCTCTGCTTTAAATAGGATTCCTGTTTTTTGGGCCAAGGACACTGTGTGTTTGGCTGTTACTCTCTCAGTTTCAGTAAATCTGATCTTGAAGCCAAGTCCAAATTAGTTCAAAATGCCTGCAAGTGTAAATCAAGCATTTGTTTGTCTTTATCACATACACTGGCAACACATTCATTTCTGAACTGGGAGACTTTTTTATTTTTATTTTTTATTATTATTAATTAAAGCTGGCAACTCATATTTAGCAGATGATGTGTCTCTGTTACCAAAGTTTGACTTCACAATAAGTAACAAATTGTGAGACGTCTTGAAATGAATACATTTTTGATTGCAATAAAAATGCATTCACTGATGGATAGCGATAGAGATATTTTTTATTTATCTTTTCACTGTTTATAGTGACAAGATAGTACATTTATTTAATGTGTGTAATGTTAGGCTAGAACAGGTTTTTCTCTGGCACCTCTCCCAACAACTATTTGACATGTAGATGTAATACGAATGACTGAAAGATGCAACTTTTTGCTCATGTTTCCAAGCTGTTCATTTTGCTTTTTTTTTTTTTTTTTTACATCCGATACTGCTCTTACTTATTCAGGCTTGTCACAGCTGCAGCTGTTTATACCTTTAACTTATTGCTGTGATTGTGGACAATTTGATGTAAGTAACTGCTAGTTTCCAACTTGTGAAGATGAGCTTCCGTCTGCTTTACTTTAATTGTATGTCCTCCTGCATTTCCCATTTGAAGTTTGGCTCCTACCTAAAACTTCTGAAATATCTGATAAAATCTAAAATAATCATATCAATACACACAATTTATGTCAAAACTGCCACAAGTACAAGACATGCACAGAATTGAAATGGTGTCCAACTCGCATCCCTGGCCCAAAATGCAAAAAAAAGAGAAAAATATACAATAAAAACTAAATCTGTGGGAATTCCATATGACAGCTTGCTCTAAATCTGTGCAACATTCTTTGTTCATGGGAGGAGGAGGAAGAGAGAGGTGTCAGTGTATGAGGGTAGAGATCAGGGAGGGAAAACATGGGAGATCTGGAAGGGAATTCAGCATCTTGACAGCCTGATGGATAAAACCTTTTCAATCTGCTGCATGTTCATCATTTTTCTCCCTGAAAGGTGACTCAACAAAACATTAATTCAAAGATGTTCACACTTATTCAAGCACATCACAGTTCATTTTAAACTTTTTTTTGTTTTTCAGTTGGTTTGTACAGGTTATGGGTCATAGTCAAGGTGGAAAATGTTCCTCCACTTCAGGACATAATCTGATCATTATATTGTCAAAAAAAAACAAACAAACAAAAAAAAAACGGGGCCTTATAACAAGGCTGTGGATATATTTTATGTGCACGGTTTATAGTTTCACCATCACCACTAATGTTACAGTTGAAATATAATCTTCAAGTGTCCAATGGTTTTTAAATGAATCTGCACTCATTGTGAATTTACTTCTTCGATTACAAAGCATAAGAAGAGGATAATAATTGGGTTGGTGTATTTTAAATGATAGTGTAAATGTTCCTTCGCCTGCAGCCTGCCCAACACCTTAACTTTCACATCACTAGGACTTGGTCCAACATCAAATTGCTGTGTCCTTGTCCCTGACAGCTCCCTGGTCGGAATTTCATCCTGTTAAGGTGGATACTCTGCCACCTTGTGGTGAAAAGCATAACTGCCTTCTGCCTGTTCATGTTTCTTCTATTATGTTGGTCTTTGTCATGCATGTCAGGCTATAGTGATGGTGCTGGAGTCAAATGGGGACACTGCCAGTCACATGATGATGAAACTTCTGCAGTCCTTCTGGAAAACAGGCCTCATCACAGTGGATCAGATGAACAGGGTAAGGGAAACTAAATTTGTCTGGATTTTCAGGCTAAGGCTGAAACAATTAATCAAATTAGTCGTTATGAATCAATTATACAAATATTCATCAAATAAATTAGTAACTGATTAATTGTTAACTCAAAATAAGGTAGTTTAATGAAAGATCCACACAGACCAGTAATTAAGCCGAAACTGCACAAAAATGTATACATTCTACATATAAGATATAAAAAAGAATGCATTACTAAAAGGCTATGTTACTGTCTTTTAGGCCATAAAATGTTTCTCATATTTAAAGACAATTGAATTACTTATTTGTTTCTCTTTGTGTATTTCCAATATTATATAAAAAAGGTTGAAATTCTTCAATAAAAAATCTAAAAAGTTGTGCCAATTTATTTATGCAATCAATCATCAGAATAATCAGTTACTAACGTAACTGTTAGTTGCAGTACTATTTCAGACTAATATTTACAAACACTTGTTGGCGTTCTTCGTATTTACGTGCAGGGTTTCCAGCGCGTGTATGTTTCCAGCGCGTGTATGACGAGCTGCATGAGATCAGTCTGGATGTGCCCCATGCCCACCCCATCATGGAGGCCTTTGTGGATCTCTGCTACCAGGAGGCTGTCATCACCAAACAGCTGCGGGACGCCTGTCCTTTCAGGTTAGTTCTTTGTCAATCACCTTTGTGACCTTTTTACAACCTTTTATTATGTTTATTCCAGGCCAATTCTTGTTGCTGGAAAATAAAACCAGCCATAAAGAAAAGCTGCTGTCTGGCTCTAGATCGTTTTGTTATTTATGTTCAATTGAAGGGCGAAGTAGAAGTTTGTTTTGCATGAACTTTCAATGGGTTCATTTTGCGCAGCATTACGGGAATGTTCTCTTACAATGCAAAGTCAATCAAACTCTGAGGTGTGCTGCTCTCGCCTGGTGTTACATTAGAAAAATGTGAAACCCTATTTGCAAAAGTCTGACTTTGAAACACGATCACAAATTCAAATCTTCTGCATTTGCGCAAATATTTGTAAGGCACTTTAATTTGCGGACACAATTAACAAGCACAAAATGTATTTGGTCCAGATTTGTGCAACACGTTGAATTTTATTATGTTCACCAGAGGGCGGAAGCGCTTTGTAAGCGAAGGAGACGGGGGATTGATCAAGAACTAATCAACATGTGGAAAAGCAGGAAGAGGAGGACGAAGACGAAGGGAGGGTGTCTACTGCTCTTCAGCCTCTGTTTCTGCCTCCATGTGAATCCCAACCTGGAACGTTCCTCTCCTGTTAATGTCATTTTACAAACCAGCATTCACATCAAACAGAGGAGCTGCCTGGGCGCTGGGCTCCCTTCATGTTGTTAATTACAGTTTTTGAAGAATATTCTGCATCTCTGGGGTTGTTGCGACCCTCCTTGCTCGGTCTTTGTACCTGTTAGGAATAATTCAAGCTAACGCTGTGGGTGGTTAGGCCTGAGTTGTGGCAGGGGTAATCTTTTTTTTGTTGTTGTTGTTCTACCTTTTTGCCATGCGTTTTCCACACAGGCACTAATAATCAGGGGACAGGACATACTGTACGGTCAGGGAGCTCAGCGGCAAAGATCTAAAACTGCTTATCCTCTGCCACAAACTATCTGAAATAATTTCAAAGAAATTGTTCTCTGTACATTCTTATTCTTGTTTCTCTCAGTTCTTAAAAAAAAAAACGGAGCCGTTTTTTTTCCGTTTCCACCTTGGTCACATAAGACCATGTGTTTACTTTGTAAAGCATCAGTTGCATTAAGATGTGTTTGGTCACTGTTTATTTGAAAACTGCATTTGAACAGGCATAAATGAATCGTCAGTTCTGAAAGTCGAATAAAAATTATTTGGGTTCCTATGTGTTCTGATAGTTATGTAAAAAAAAATAAAATAAAATGAAGCAAGTATTCATTATTTAGAGAAATAAAGACTTTTGCTTGCAATTCAGTAATGTAGACAACTGCTGTGGTCAGCAGATGAATCTGAAGGAGCAGATTAAAGAGGGTAGGAAAATGTCAAACGAAGCTGGGATTGGTGTAATAACCTCATTGGACTTATTCCAGCTCCTTCATACCTTCGAATACAGTTTGTCAGTGAGACTTTTCTACCCTCTGTCAAACAGTTTTACATGTTGACCAAAGTTGTTCTCAATGTTTGAGTTGAAATCTTTCATTCAATAAAAAAAAAAATGCAACAAATCGGTGTTTCTTTTCCTTCTTGTTTCATGACCGTTACGCTGAGCAAGAGAAAGTGTCGAGATTTTACTGGGTAGTTTTGACTTAAACAAGCTGATGGAAAGTTTCAGGTAACTAAAGGATGACAGAGAAGTAGTTTAGGCACACACCTACGTCATGATCCTGAAAAGGTTGTCTCTGGAGGAGTTGCAGAAATGGGAAATCACTGTTGTGACACTTAGTTCAAAGGAGAGAAAACATGAGAAGCCTTGTCTGCTGCCAGCCATCAAGAAGATAGTAAAGATATGACAGAAGATGGCCTGTCACGTATATTCTCAATAAGATGCACTGAAATTTGAGTTTGACAAAATATGAAAGCTTTCAAAGAACTCGAGAAGCCATTGCTCGGGTCTCTGAGCTCAGAATCATTTCGGACTAAAATAATCAAGAATAGAAAATGTTTTGAAATTGGGCGTCTTGTGATGCACACTGAAATAAAACACAGCGTACAAAAGAAACATTTCAGACAATTAAGTTAATGCATTTTAACAATAAAAGAAAAGTTTTAGTGAAAACGTGGAATAACATTTGAAATATGCAACAGCGGTTCCATATCCATGTTGCTCTTTTTGGCTCTAAATCCGTTAGTAACGGAGAAAATCCAAGATTTAGACACGTCATGGTGACGTCATCAAATATCAAATTTTAGAGGACAAACATGTTCCTTGTTTCTGTTCCTGCTTTTATTAATAACAATGAGCATGCAGTACGTTTTAAAACGGCGCCTTTCTTCCGTTTGAAGGCTTCCAGCAGCAGGTGTAGATGATCCACTCGAGCACGTCCACGTCAGTGGAAGCCATCCAGCCAGCCGTGAACTCGGAAGTGGCTAGCAGGCTTAGCCAGCGAAGGATCATGAGCAGCTGAGAATCTGCGTGTTTCCACAGGTCAGTCGTCCACTTCGTCAATGAACATTACGCTGGAACTGCGAAACGGAGCCGCGTTTATCGAAACGCGGGTTAAGCGAAGACATATTCTCTCGTCAGCCGGCGGCAGTTGTCCGAACTTGCGTTAGCTTTTAGCGCGGCGGCGTGAAGCATGAAGGGCTACACTCCGGCGGGTTCCCCGCTGAATCTGTCGCACAGGTGTTTTTAACGAACGTGAACGCCTCGCATGTAAACTCAGTTTAATTTATAACCGGTTTTATGAGGCCTGTGCGTATCTGGGGGCATTATGCACCTTTCTAGCTTAACATTAGCTTGAGAGCTATATGAGGCTCCCACAGGAAAGACACGCACAACAGCAGGCTTGTTGTATCTGTGGGTGTTTTTTATTTGTTTTGGTTTAATACATAAACCGTGTGGTCCCAGTTATGTAGAAATGCCTAGCCAAAGTAATTGAAATTCACATCCAGATTTGCTGGACTGAATTTTTCCTGCTTGCTTTTTTTGTCCTCATACTTAAAGATTGACTTTGTATGAACACGTTTTAAAGTTTTAGTAAATGTTAGGTGTGTCGTCTTGTCCTGAAGTAGGAAACAGAAACAGATTAAATGCAGAACAACACGTGGCATAATCCATTGTGTAATTGTTTATGTGACACGTTTTCAGACTCACAGTTTAATTGTGCCTGAATAATGAAAAAAGGTATATACAAACAGCGTTTTATTGAGTTTTCCCATATTGTATTGAAGCTGCCCCTCCACCACCTGTTGCTGTGCACTGAAAGAACTGAGCCCCTTCTTCAATTATAATGTCTGCACAATTTATGGAGAAGTAATAATTGAAATGTCTCTTGCATAAATGGTGTCTTATCAGTGACTTTGTTTCTGTTACACAAAATCTACATTGTGTCAGAAAAATGCATTTTTTCCCTCTTTGTTCTCTTCAGAAGGGCAGGATGGGCAGGCAGAGGAAGAGGGTGGTGACAGGTGACGCTCCTCCATACTCAAGGAGAGACGAGAGGCCCTCTGCACTTAATCGCAAAGAGAAAAAAAAGAAAACAGACATTGGGAAATTGTTCATCAATATCTCCATTGGGCTCTGCATATTCAGCCTCATCTGGTTCTTCTATGCCGTCTACATGGGGTCCAGTCTGTCGAAGCGTGTAGTGACTCTGCATTCATCGCCTCGCGTTCTTGATGCCAATAGCACCACTGCAAAGGTTTCCTCAGAGAGGTTCTGGGGCTCATACAGGCCTCAGGTCTACTTTGGCATGAAAACAAGAAGCCCCTGGTCCGTTGTGACAGGTAGGTGGTCGCAAACTCAGATTACAAACTCATTACAAATTGTGAAAAGTTTCACCAGAGCTCATCAAATTTGGGTGTAAAATACCAGATAGTGGGACAGGATTTCTGACTGGTGGTTAAGATAATTTTATTAGTATTATTTATTTTTTATACTGAAATTTGTCTTGTGCATCGGAGCTCACACAAAATCAGACATTTCTATCGGTTAGCAATTAAAAAATTTAAAAAATTAAGATGCTTAAGTTTCTTTATTAAAATTTGTAAATAAATTTGAGTGACTTAAAAGAGGCTTCAGACTGAGCTATTTGTCTGGGAACATCCACAGTTCCCAGATAGGCTGATATAACTAAAACTATCTGCTTAAATTGCATGTTCTGTAAGAAGATGCTTGTTTTTTCGAAACCGTTGCCAAGCGCATCATTTTTCATCTGTAACAATGTAGCTTTATTGCTGAGATGCTAATTAATTTCTCTTTTTATTATGTGATCATTTGTGTTGCTCCATTTTTGCACAGGGATGATGTGGATGCGGCAGTTTTCCAACTCAGACATGAACCTCAGGCATACTTGTGAACAGGGTGATCGTTTGCAAGGCTACGGCTGGCTCATGCACGACGGACTGACGTTTGGCGTTCAGGAAATTCGAGATAACGACTTCACCCTAACCACTGAGTTTGTTAAGAGGTTTGGTGGAGATCATGGAGGAGACTGGACCTGGAGGATCACAGCCAAACAGCATGTGAGTGTTAATGGACCCCGTTGTGATGTTCTGCGAATACGCCCTTTCAAAGTCAGAATAATGTTTTGAGTGATTTGAAATGGCCATTTTGCGGTTAGTTTTGAGAAATGCGGGATGTTTATTTTGTCTTGTCGTTACCCTGTAGAGCTCAGCTCCCCAGCCTCCAGTTATATCCCTGATGTTTTACGCGGCAGCAGACACACAGGGCTCGCTGCAGACTCACATGGAGGAGAAGAATCGCCTCGCTTCCATCACTGGCTTTTCAGAGGAACTGGGAAACTTTAAGATCACTTTTAGGAAGCCTGTTACTGGGGAATTATCCAGCACGAAATATGCCAGGTAAATGCATAAAATCAGGCTAGACAAAAATGTCTAGCCTGTAGTGTACAAGCAATAAATACGTGCTACTTCTGTATAATACTAGAATAACAGAAAATATCAACCTAAATATGACGCTAAAGGCAGATGTTTGTGAGTGGATTGCCTTTCTATTCCTTAAACTCACAAGTTTAAGATGCCTTAACATCTTAATCTTGGATGTTAAGGAACAATGAAACAACTAAATAAGATAAGATTAAGAAAAAAATAGAGAAATACAATCTAAATATAAGAAAATGGAAAGCCATGAATGAAATATGACTGTATACATATGTTATATATCAACTTTAAAAAGGAAAAAGACATTCCAGTAATTATTTAAGCTTTGTGCTAATCAGGATATGTATCTGCTGTGATTTTAATATATAATACATAACAAATTTTTGCTATAACATAGTTATAACAAACTTTTTTATGTGGAAAATGTGTATATTGTAATGACATGATATATTCAAGTATAAAAAGTAAATTGTAACTTGATATGTCATACAAAGATATAAAGTATATTATTAGTACAATAAAGTTTTCATGTGAAATAAATCAGTTTTTCTTTAGTCTGAGTGGCAGCTTTATGTTTCCACAAAAAACAGATGATAAATTATTTGACAATGTTAATGCTAAAAAAAAAAAAAAAAAGTTGACCAGATGCTGTTCACATTCTGAGCAAGAGGTGGCAGCAAAGTGCTTCCAATATTATCCTTAGCATTTTAATCACCAGACCAAAAGCAATTTGGATAAGCAAGGAGTTAGATGTAGTCTCATTTTTACATACCACACTACACCGTCTCCACGTGCCAAGAAAAAAACCAAACGAAAAATTTAGAAGAAAGTATGTACATGCTAAAATTATTAGAAGTTAAGAAATTGTATAAAATTCTAGATTTAAAGGGGAGTGTTTTTTTTTTTTCTTCTGCCATGACTATTAGTCAGTTATTATGAATTGATTGGAACCAATTAAGACTATTTCTCCTTTTTCTTTCTTTTTTTCTTTCTGATGTTTTTTTATTTTTAGTTACAACTATCTTCAGACCTTGTCTCCTGGTTTGGAGAAGCTGACTGACATTGTGAAGCTCAGTCTGAACCGCAGGTTCGTCTTCAGCCCTCCATCTGGTGAGAAGAGGCATTACATAGGTGTGGACACCTACAAACCGCCCCATCACCAGAACCAGCAGAAAACTGCTGACCCACGGAAAGAAAGCGACTTCGTGGTCCACCAGGTGACCGTTCAGACGCCTTTCCAGATTGAAGTTCTGTTTGAGTCTGGAAGTTTCTACAATCGCCCCAACCAACTCGTCGGTTCTATTATGACTCAGGAGCTAGAAAGGAGGAAAGCTGAGTTTAATGCGAAGTTTGAGAAAATATTTGCACTGGAGAGCAAAGGTTTTAGCCAGACACAAATTAAATTTGCCAAAGCAGCGCTCAGCAACATGTTGGGTGGAATGGGATATTTTTATGGCGAGTCAGTGGTGCAGTCAGTCTACAACGAATACCCTCTCCTGTACCCCGGAGGTGCTTTATTCACTGCTGTACCGTCACGCTCTTTCTTCCCCAGAGGCTTCCTCTGGGATGAGGGATTTCACCAGCTGCTGCTGAGTAGGTGGGATCCTCATCTGACCAGAGAGGTGATAGGCCACTGGTTTGACCTAATGAACATTGAAGGCTGGATCCCCCGTGAGCAGATTCTTGGAGACGAGGCTCGCAGTAAAGTCCCAGCTGAATTTATTGTTCAGCGGAACGAAAATGCGAACCCACCTACCCTCTTCTTAGCTCTGCAGGAACTAATTGAACAGCTCTCTTCAAAGTCAGATGAGGCAGCAACGAGACCGACCCTTCCTTTCCTTCGAAGGCTGTTCCCCAGGCTGAAGACCTGGTTTGAGTGGTACAACACCACACAGACGGGACCAAAGCCCAACTCATACCGCTGGCGTGGACGAGACAAGGACACTAACCTGTACCTTAATCCTAAAACTTTAACCTCTGGACTGGATGATTACCCAAGGGCCTCTCATCCCTCTGGAGACGAGCGACATGTGGATTTGCACTGTTGGATGGCCTTGTCCTCAGGCATCATGGCCAGCATAGCTCAACTTCTAGGCGAGCCCCATCAGGACTATAAAGTCCTACACGATGTGCTCAGAGACAACAACCTGCTCAATGACCTTCACTGGTCAGAGCAACTCCGTGCCTTCAGTGACTATGGCAACCACACACAAAACGTCTCCTTGCAGCGGGAGAAGGTGTACGTACCGCCTGGACAGCCCCGCCATCAGTTTCCCGTGGCACGTCTCGTACGCTCCGTCCGCAGGGCCCCTAAGCTGCAGTACGTCAACGCTTTCGGTTATGTCAGCTTGTTCCCCTTCTTGCTCCAAATCCTCCAGCCCGACTCGCCAAAACTGGAACACATCCTCCGAGACATGAGAGACCCCACTAAGCTGTGGACGCCCTTTGGCCTGCGCTCTCTCTCGAAGACTGATCCACTGTATATGGAGCGAAACACGGAACATGATCCCCCCTACTGGAGGGGACCAGTTTGGATCAACATCAACTACCTGGCAGTCAGAGCTCTCTACCACTACGGCAACACAGAAGGGCCATACCAAGAGAAGGCAGCTGATCTTTATAAGGAACTCAGGACTAATATTATAAACAATGTTTATGCACAGTTTGTTGAAACAGGGTATATTTGGGAACAGTACAATGATGGAACTGGCAGAGGCCAAGGAAGCCACCCCTTCACTGGCTGGTCATCCTTGACAGTATTAATGATGGCTGAGCATTTCTGATGTCCTCTGATCCATCTCTTTGTTGCTTTAATTCAGGCAGCATCGACTGTTAAGATGTAAAAAATGTAGGCTGTTTGACTATGGCGAGAGAAATGAGAAGAGAAATTACTTCTGTCATTATCACATTTTTGTATGAACCCTTTAATGAAAATGACAGATGTATATATTTCCACCACTGGAAAACATTTAAACAGGTGTTGGGTGCAGCTCTTGTTGCTGATTTCCTTTTTGGACATGCAGCATAGCCTAAAATTATTTTTAAATTTTCATATAGAACAATTTCCATTCAACAATGTTTGGTTCTGATTTTAATTTAGACAGACAACTCTCAAATAAAATGCAGAATTGGCAAATGGAAAAGAAAAAAAAATTGCATTGAATAAAAAAGTATTTTTTTAATATATGCCCTCTTCAGTTTTTTTTTCTTCAAACTGCTGATCAGCTTTTTGCATATTTCCTCTTATCTTTGGTGATGATCTCCGGGTCTTTCATGCCGTTACCATTACCTCAATCTTTATCTCCCTTTGCGTATTTTGTATCGGATTTAAGTCGCAACCTTTTTATTTTTACTGTAAATCCTCTAATATTGTGCTTCCTTTGCACCTTTAATATTAAAACTCATTTTTGGAAGATGAGGACAGGTATACAGATGCCCCATGAATTAGAATATTATTGATAAATATAATTTAATTCAGTTATTCAATTTCAAAAAGTGAAACTCATTTTATTCTGATTATGCATTATTGAGAGATGTACTTAAATTGTTGTTAATTTTGCTTCACAGCTGATAAAAACCCACAAATTCAATTTCCCTGAGAACTAAATTTCAGAAAACTATTGCCAAAAAATTTTATATGTCAACCTACTAAAAAGTATGTTTATATGCTGAACAGTCTATGCTCCCAAATTTTGTTGGAGCTCCTTTTGCAGGAACTATTTAATCAGTGAGCGCCGTCATGGAGGCATGTGAAGGCAGCCCGGGTTGCTTCAAGAGTGACTTTAGATTGTTGACATTTTTGGGTGTGGGGACTCTTGAAACAGTGACTCCTGCAGCATTGCGAATCTCTTCTGAACTCATGCTAAAGACTCCAGTCACCTGTGTTTTCTGCCACACTTTTTCCCTCCACTCAACTTTCCAAGAACATGCCTGAGTACAGCATTCTGTGAACAGCCAGGCATTGACCTCTTGCGTCTTAGCCTCCTTGTGGAGAGTGTCAGTAACTGAGCAGCTATCAGGTCAGGACCCTTCCTCATAATTGTGTAAGTCATAACATTGCCATAGCATATAATTTCTGTTTCAAGCATTTTTCTTTCCTTTCTTTCAACATTCAGATTTTATGAGAAAATACAAATTTCCCTCAGTGGTTAAAAACTGTTGAGCCATAATGATAAAAAAAAAAATAGAAAATCTCTTTGTAGCTATTAAGTTGTTGAATTGGAGTTTTAATTTTTGAAATTGATATCTAATTTGAGATTTACCTGTTGTAAGAACAACACTTAATCAAGCAAACAAAACAGGTCTCCCCATAATATTGATTGAAACCCCCCTGCAAAACTAAAATGAAAAGGACACTAGAAGGTTAGTTCACCCCTAATATTATAGAAACAGACAGACTTCATTAACCTCTTTGAATTTAAAGGGGTGTCCTGAATTTAAATTGGACATTTATTCTCTTTATACTGGAAACGAGAACTGAAATTGCATCTGTCATCACATTTTCTCGCCGTCTGTCCATCAACGTCTCTGTTTTGAGGAATCGTAAGATTTTCCATACCAGAAGGGTCAGTATTCTGGGTCTGCCACTGGGACCTGAGGAACCTTTTAAAATATTAACATTCTTTTGTTTTTTTCACTGTTTACAAAAGATTTTTTTCAAGTACATCTCCGCTGTCTTTATATAACTACATTTGTGAAATCTTGACTATCTGCATTCACACTATGTGCCACTTGATTGTCGGAAATGAAGACAGACATCTGCATTTGTTAAATTGCAAGCCTAATTGATGAAATCCAAGGACAGTTTTCAATGGGCAGCTGGTTAATTCATGTGTTTGGGAATTTTGAGTTGTACTTTCACTTGCCAAAATCAGGTTTTTGATATATAATTGTGCCATTTTCTCACATGTATTGCTCTTTTGATTCAATGTCTTAAATATCAGTTTTGATATTTGTTTGTTCTCACTTTCTGAAAAGAATCAACGTTTATAAAGTGACTGTTTCTAGTAGCAGACATTTTGTGTACATTGTGGTTTGTTTGGCAAGGGAAAACAGTGCTGACATATTGATTTGTTTTGTCAAAATATTAAATGGTTTAAGTATTTCTTGTCAGTCTTATTTTTCTTTTTACTGGCTGAACTTTTAGTGCATTGTTACAAGAAAATTGGATATTGAAACTTGATCCTTGAGCTGCAAACTTGGTGAACGGTTAATGAAGACGGGAATGTTTTCAGAATTTAGTATCCATCCAGAGTAAATCGCTCCTGTTTGCACTCAGCAGTTACCCCAAACGTATTTATGATAAAGAGAGGAGGAATGAAACTTTATATGAAATACATACCTGTAAAATCTGTCTAAAATACCTATTTTCATTAAATATTTTTATTAGGAAATGCTCACAAAATTCAAATCATAGTATCTCAAAAGTATAAAGATCTTGGCTTTGACTGTTTAAGAGCTTTACATTTCATAGATTTATCTTTGGTGGCGCAGCCACAACACAGCATCCTCAATTAATGACATGTCATAAACTAAATGCTTTCTGGAATTACATTTTTAGTTTACGCCTAAAATTTCTTCTGTTCTTTTGGTGTAAGATTTCTGATTAATCTGACCAAAGAGCATTAATGTGGAAGTCCTGATGCCTGTCCATTTTCACTGACTAACTGGACTTCATTTTTTTGTAAAGAGGAAAAGTTTAGTCCTTGCATCACTTTCAAACACGTTCTTTCTCTTTGTGATTGTCTAATCAACTTTCATATGAACAGCAGCAAGAGGCTGCTGGCGGAGCCATGATGTTATTTTAAGGTTTTTGGAGACTTATTTAGGCATCTTGTTTCTTTGCTTTTAGGGTAAAGTTGCCTGGACAGTCAGACCTGAGCACATTGGCAGTTTTGAAATTCCTTTACTTGTATTTTCCATATTGTCGAATGGCTGCTTTCAAGTTCTGTTGAGACCTTGTTAAACCCCTAATAGACTCATAGGCTGCTACAATTTTCTTTTTGAAGGCCACAGAAAGCCCTTTCATTCCTGCCCCAAGGTTCATCACACCAAATTTCTTTCAAAGAGATGAGCACTAACTTCAGAAAAAGACAGTTTTACCCCAAAAAAAACAAAATAAACAAAAACATTTTCACTCTAGATACACCTTTTGCAGGTTTTCCTTTTAAGGATGTAATGTAAGGTTTTAAATCTATATAAAACTGTGACTCAGGCTAAATATGTGTATAGACTTTCCTATTCCTTCTGAGGAAATGCACTCCGCACAGAAAGCTGTCAGCACCATGTTTAACCACAGAAATGATGGGTTCAGCATGAACCTGAACATGGTCATACATAATTTGCATGTAGGTCAAAAGGTTACATTATGACTCATCTGGTTGCTGTGTCTCCTCCCTGACTTGGGTCAAACTTTAAACAGGACTTCTTATGGCTTTCTAAAGGGGGGAGAATGTAAAATATGTAACGCTTGATATTTCTCATCACAAGAATAAAAAAGCTGAAAGGCCTGTGTAATTTCCCTTCACTTGACTGTTGTGTTTTGCATTATATTGTTCTGTTACATAAAACCAAAATGCATCGAGGTTTGTGGCTGTAAAGGATCCAGCTGAAGTGTTGTAAATACACTCACTAAGCACTCTATTGTAGTTCAAATTTTACATTTTTGAATGTTAGAAAATAAAAATGAACAAATATAAGCATTCTGTTTCCATATTTATTTTCCTATTTCAAGCCTTGAAATTAAATTATACACTTCCCCCCGATGTAGAAGGCAGCTGTTACTATTTCAGCTGAGGCAGACAGTAGCTTCAATACTTTGACCTTAAGTACAGCAGCCTGATCATTTTTCCTTTTTCAAATGGCACATTTGAAGGCCTCTCGCTGACGTCAGTTTTTTTTTCATCTTCTGTTTTTTTTTTATCGGTTTCCATGGAGCATGGTTGTTGTGAGGGCCTGGTGCTTAATTACCCCACATCAAAAGGCATGGAGTACATTGATGGCAAATTCTTTTCACTCCTTGACATGTGCTGGCATACATTCACACAGCAGGGTACACTGTGGCAGTGTTCCTTGTTAACGCTTCGCCATCGTGTGTATGAAGAAAAAAAAAAAAAAAACTGGTACTGAGCAGCACTCAGAATGCTTATGTGACCATCGGGTTCCAGCCTCTAGACTTTCATGAATCCTTTGAATGGGCTAGTTTCGCAGTTGTATCGCTGAAAGCTTAGCGTGGTGCTGTAAGGTTGCGTGGCTAAAAATAGGGCCTCTGTCAGTTAGCAGAACAGCAAGTAGGCTGTGAAGCTGCATGCTGGTAGTTTAGCCAAATGTTTCATATTTTCCAATTCCAGAGACTGGTTGTTAACTCTCCATGCTTCCATTGTTATTATTTTAATTGACATAAAACACAGACGTATGCAGTGAAATGACATGCCTTAGGAGGGTCAGAAAAGACCAAAGCTCGGCGTTTGACCCTTTGACCCGATGACGCAGGGAGCAGTATTCAGGGATTTCTACCATGGATGAGACATATCCGTTTGCTTGTTTTTGCCGTTCCTCTCGTTTGAAATGGATTCTCTTAATTGTAACTGCATTGGATTCATTTCTTTGAAGAGTGTACACAATCTGTGTGACTGAAACACTCACTGCGCAATCCATCCCCCTCACCCAAGACCCCCTTTTTCACAGGGAGATGGGATAATAGCCAAACGGCATCAGAGCTAACTAATGTGACTGCATAATAAACAGATGAGTCAGTGTTCATTTGCATACCATGTCATCCCAACCTGATCAGAGCTTCTGGACGGTTAATATTAGTGAGTGCTATAAATGTGCTTTGGAGGCACTGACCAAAAACACTGCTGCTGTTCATATTTTTTTTTTGTCTCTAATAATGGAAATCATCATAGATGTGCAGTTATTATAAAGCTGTCTAAAAGTGGGGCCCCAGTCCCCAGCATTGACTGCTGTAATGAATGTAATTACTGGGAAGGTATGCTAGAGGGAGCTAATTAATAAGGCATTTGTGAGTGGGAAAAGTGGATTTTTCACTACAGCTTGGCTATCATTTTACGCACAATAGAGAGAGCTACTTAGAATTAAAGCAGTTATAAGTGGATAATTATGCTAATAGCTCAATTAGGATTTAAGATATGTTGGCAGGCTGTATTTCTGCGTGATCACCGTTCGGCTCTTGGACTGGCTCCCTGCATATGTGGGCTCGTGCATTCACAGTATCTCACTTCAGATGTCCGATTCTGTGTCCCGAAGCCGTGTGATAATATGTGTTTTTCGAGTGTGACACAACTTTTTGCCTCAGATACAAATGATCCAGTGAACTTGTGTATCTCTGAATGTGCAGTTTCTTTCCCCTGCTTGTGTGGGCTAAGCCCGAAGTCTTGTGGCTGTCGGCTATTTAACGGATCCATGTTTAATGAGATCACTGCATGCTAATGTTGCCTGTGAAACTCCAGCTTTGACATCACTGACCTCACCGGCCCCACTGACATCAGACAGTACGATCCACACCATGCTGATAGCTGTTTATACTATGTGCCTGCTTGCAAAATGTGCTTCAGGGATCCAGCATCTCTGGATCTGTGTACTCTGCCTTTGCTCCCCCCCCCACCCGCCTCTCAGTGGAAGCTTACTGTGTAGTACCAAACTTGCCTCAGCCAACATAGGTCTATGTATGTTATGTAAGGGCCACTATAAATAGGTTCACCCAGGATCTTTTGTCTTTACCTGATTCGCTCTTAGCCCAACAGTTTTTATTTCTGGTGAGAGCTGTGGAAGCCAGTGCAATGGAGAGCCGGCCGTTTCCATAGTTACTTTTGTTAGCTGCGAGCTCTTAACATTCTTCATCTGTTTCCTCACATGCCTACTGTTGGCTATTTGTTTGAATCTGTTTGTACTGCATGTCTGTGTAATGAGTGGACGTGCAGCAAATAAAGCAGAAACAGAAACAGTTCTTTCTAATTAACAGCGTATCTTTTATAAACACTGCAGTGTCACCCTCTGAGAGAAAAGAGCAACAAATAGAAATCAGTGTGGGTGCAGATGAGTCAGAGACCAGAATATGTAGACCTATTAACTTCTGCTGGTCAAAAGTACATGCAATTAGTTGCATGTTGTGTGAGATTCACTCATATCACCTCAAGTGCTATGAAGCAGATATTTGCATTTGTCTCCAACATGCAGTGCCTCGCAATAGTATTAATACCTCTTAAAACCCTTTGAATTTTTGTTCATTCTATTTCATTAGGATTTGTGATAGATCAACATAAATTAGCACAGAATTGCACAGTGGTTTCCAAAATTTGTCTAGACATTTGACATATTATTTAGGTCTGGGCATTGACAGGGTCACTATGACATATGAAAACACTTTGATATAAATCACTTCATTGCAACCCTGATTATTGCTTCAATAATTGGTTGAATCTTATTACAATATGGAAGGATGTGGGCATGAGAAAATTGAGGAGCTTTTGACATAAAATAAACACAAAAGAAACACAGACTTCTGGGAAAGTGACAAAACCTTAAACATGACCAAATACTTAAAAATCACAATACCAAAACATGAGAAAGATCAAAAATGCAGTAAAAAAATCAAAACTTAAAACTATGAGTAACTAAATACGGAGTTATTAAAACCCTGATACTTTATAGCTTTACCGATTTTTCCACCAACTCTTTGTTGACTACTGAAGCAGAGCATCTCCACAGCATCATACGTGCACCACCATGTTCTGCTGTAAGGCTGATGTGTTCGGGGTTATGGGCAGTGTTGCTTATAACGACTTTTGGTATTCCACTTCTGTACAGGGCAGATTTTTTGAGTGCAGCATTAATAAGTGTCCTCTCTACAAATTCTCCCACTTGGGCTGTGAATTATTATAACCCTCTCAGCTGCTTTGCTTACTCTCCTTGTCCAGCCTGCCAGTTTAGACCTACTATAAATGTCTTTATAGTAGGTTAGCCAATGTGCCAAACCTTCTATAAGTCAATTGTGCTTTCTCAGATGTTGAAAGCTTGGAACACTGTTTCATTAACTAACCTTGCTCTAAACTCCTGCATTCGTCTCATTTATATGTTCACTGA